CACATAGTGACACCCTCACACACAATGAGACCCTCACACATAGTGACACCCTCACACACAGTGATATCCCCAACACAGTGACACCCTCACATACGGAGACAACCTCATACACAATGACACCCTCACACACTCTCACAGTCAGTGACACCCACACACAGAGACACTCACACACACAGTAACACCCATACACACAGTGACATCCTCACAGACAGTGAAACCCCCACACACAGTGACACCCTCACACACAGTGATACCCCCACACACAGTGACACCCTCACATACACAATGACACCCTCACACACACAGTGACACCAATACACACACAGTGATACCCACACACAGTGACACCCTCACATACACAATGACACCCTCACACACACAGTGACACCAATACACACACAATGATACCCACACATAGTGACACCCACACATATATAGTCACACTCACACTCAGTGACACACCCACACATTCAGTGACACCAACAGACACAGTGACATTCACACACACAGAGACACCCTCACAGACACAGTGACACCTACACACAGTGATACCCTCACACACTCAGTGACACCCACACACAGTGACACCCCCACACATAGTAACACTCTTACACAGAATCACATCCCCACACAGTGGTACCCTCACACACAGTGGCACCCCTCACACACAATGACACCCTCACACATAGTGACACCCACTCAGTGATATCCCCACACATAGTGACACTCTCACATACAGTGACACCCTCACACACAAGAACACCCTCACACACAAGGACACCCTCGCACATTCTCACACACTCAATGACACTCACACACAGTGATACCTCCACACACAGTGACACTCACACAACACAGTGACACCCATACAAACACAATAAAACCCTCACACACACAATGAGACCCTCAAAGACAGCGATATCCCACACACACAATGACACCCTCACACACAGTGACACCCTCACACGCACAATGATACCCACACACACAATAACATCCTCAGACACACAATGATACTCTCACACATTCAGTGATACCCACAGACACAATGACACTCACACACAAAGTGACACCTTCATACACACAGTGATATCGGCACACACAGTGACACCCCCACACACAGTGAAACCCTCACACAGTGACACCTTCACACACAGTGACACCCTCAAACATAGTGACACCCTCACACACAATGATAGCCCCAACACAGTGACACCCTCAAATACGGAGACAACCTCATACACAATGACACCCTCGCACACTCTCACAGTCAGTGACACCCACACACAGAGACACTCACACACACAGTAACACCCATACACACACAGTGACATCCTCACACAGTGATACCCACAGTGACACATAGTGACACACACTGTGATACCCTCACACACAGTGATATCCCCAACACAGTGACACCCTCACATACGGAGACAACCTCATACACAATGACACCCTCGCACACTCTCACAGTCAGTGACACCCACACACAGAGACACTCACACACACAGTAACACCCATACACACACAGTGACATCCTCACAGACAGTGAAACCCTCACACACAGTGACAACCTCACCCACAATGACACCCTCACAAATAGTGACACCCTCACACAGTGACACCCTCACACAGTGACATTCACACACACAGAGTGACACCCATACAGACTCAGTGACACCCACACCTACAATGACACCGTCACACACAATGAAACCCTCACAAGCTCAGTGACACTCACACACAGCGACACCCATACACACACAATGACACCCTTATAGACAGTGACACCCTCACACAATGAAACCCTCCCACACACAATGACACCCACGCACATTCAGTGACACCCACACACAGTAACACCCTCACACACACAGTGACATCCTCACACACAGTGACGTCCTCATACGTAACACCCACAGACACAGTGACACCCACACACAGTGACACCATCACACACACAGTGACACGCCCCCCACACACAGTGACACCCTCACACAGAGTGACAACCTCATACACAGTGACATACAAACACATATGGTGACACCCACATACATAGTGACACCCTCATACACAGTGACATACAAACACATTCAATGACACCCAGACACAGTGACACCCTCACACACAGTGAGATTGACACCCACATACAGTGAAACTCACATAGTGTCACCCACTGCACAGTGTCACCCTCACACAGTCACACCCACACACACAGTGCCACCCTCACACACACAGTGACATCTTTACATATAGTGACAGCCACATACACACAGTGACACAAACACAATAACACACACACTTTGACACCGTCACACAGTGACACCCACACACAGTGACACCCTCACAAAATGACACCCAGACACATACAGTGACACCCACACACATACTGTGATACCCACACACAGTGACACACTCACACATTCAGTGACACCAACACACAGTGACAGACACACAGTGACATCCTCACACAGTGACACCCTCACACAGTGACACCCTTACACAGTGACACGCACACACAATGATACCTACACACAGTGACACCCTCACACACAGTGACACCCACAAACAGTGACACCCTCACAAACAGTGACACCCTCACACACAGTGACATACAAACACATATGGTGACACCCACGTACATTGACATCCCCAGACACACAGTGACATCCTCACACAGTGAACCCAGACACAGTGACACTCCCACACAGTGACACTCTCACACACAGTGACACTCACCACACACAGTGACACACTCACACACAGTGACACTCACATACACAGTGACACCCACACACATACAATGATACAAACACCCACAGTGACACACATACACAGTATCACCCTCACACACAGTGACATCCTTACACAAAGTGACATCCACACACATACAGTGACACCCACATACAGTGATACCCTCACACATTCAGTAACACCCAGACACAGTGACACACACACAGTGACACCCTCACGCACAGTGACACCCTCGCAGTGACACCCACACACAGTGACACCCTCACATTCAGTGACACCCACACACAGTGACACCGACATAAACAGTGACACCCATCCACACAGTGACATTCTCACACACACAGTGACACTCACACAGTGACACCCACACACACAGTGACACCCTCACACATTCAGTGACACCCACACACACAGTGACACCCTCACACACACAGTGACACACACACACAATGATACCCACACATTGACACAGTGAGAATCACAGTGACACCCATACACACACTGACACATTCACATACACAGTGACACCCACACACACACAGTGAACCCGCACACAGTGAAACACACAGAGCGACACTCACACAGTGACATACACACAATGACACACACACACACATAATGACACCGTCACACACAGTGGCACCCAGGCACACACACAGTAACACATATACACAGTGACACACACACACACACAATGACACTCATGCACAGTGACATCCACACACAAGCAGTGACACCCACACACAGTGACAATCACACAGTGACACTCAAACGCACAGTGACACTCACACACCCAGTGGCACCCTCACGCACAGTGACATCCACACCCAGTGACACCCTCACAAACAGTGACACATACAAACACATTGGCACACACACACAGTGACACCCTCACCCAGTGACACCCTCACACACAATGACACCCACATAGACATAGTGACACCCACACACATACAGTGACACCTCACACACACAGTGACACCCATACACAGTGAAAAAAACCCTCATACACAGTGACACTCACACACAATGACACCCACCCAATGACACCCACACAGTGAAACGCTAACACACAATGACACTCACACACAGTGATATGCACACGACACTCACAGTGACACACAGTGACACTCACAAACACAGTGACACACTGTGACACCCAAATACACAGTGACACCCTCACACACAGTGACACCCTCACACACAGTGACACCCACACACAGTGACACCCACACACAGTGACACTCACACTGTGACACCAACATAGTGACACCCACACAGTGACACTCTCACAGTGAAACCCACACACAGTAACATCCACATAGTGACAGCCTCACACACAGCAACACTCACACAGTGACACCCACACATAGTGACTCCCCCACCCACACACAGTGTCACACTCACAGTGACACCCACACACAGTGACAGCCACACATGGTGGCACTCACACACAGTGGCACCCTCACTCACACAGGGACAACCTCACACACACAGTGACACTTGCAGTAAAACCCACATACACAGTGACACCTCCACACACACAGTGACACCCTGACACATAGTGTTTTATAAAACACTGGTTAGGCCTCAACAGACATGATGGACCGATTGGCCTCCTTCTGTGCTGTATAATTCTATGATTCAGTGACAACCTCACACACAGTGACACCCACACACACAGTGACACCCACACACACAGTGACACTCACACACCGTGAAAAACACACATATCATGATACCCTCACACACACAGCAACACCCTCACAGTGACAAACACACACATAGTGACACACACACAGAGACACTCTCACATGCACAGTGACACCCTCAAACAGTGAGACCCTCACACACACAGTGACACACACATATACAGTGACACACACACACACCCTCACACAATGACACACGCAGGGTGACACAAGGTGACACCCACACACAGTGACACACGCACACACACAGTGACGCACACACACACCGTCACACACACGGTGACGCACACACGGTGATGGACACTCATAATGACACATACAGTGACACACACACAGAGTGATACCCACAAACACACAGTGACACACACAGTCTGCTCCTTAGTCCTCTCTGTGCAGCCTGTGGTTCGGCCTGAGCCCCTACCCTCAGGGCCGAGAGGCGTCAATGAGGTAGATGTGAGCAGGAGATTTGACTCCGATTGTGAGCAGAACCAGAGACACCAATTTAAGACGATTAAGCACACCCAGGCATCGAAATTAGAACAAAAATCTTCATTGCGTGTGCACTGTCACCGCTCAGACAATGTAACCCACCAGAGCCCTGGCTTTGATGACTGTGTCGGGCAGACTGTGTGGACAAATATTACACTGTGATGATTGGTGTGGTCAAGGAGGCAGGACGACAAGATTTAAGATGTGGAAATGGAAAAATGTTTGTGCTTCTGGCCAGTCGGGAAATACTTGTACAGCACCTCGGGACATTGACTGGTGGATGAGGACAATGTCAGAACGGGTGCAAGGCCACCTGTAGAGCCTGGTTGTGGTCTACATGAAGAGTGGGTATGGTCTATATGGAGAGTGGTGGGTGTGGCCTATATGGAGAGTGGGTGGGTGTGGCCTATATGGAGAGTGGGTGTAGCCTATATGGAGAGTGGGTGTGGTCTATATGGGAGTGGGTGTGGCCTATATGGAGAGTGGGTGTGGTCTATATGGAGAGTGGCTGTGGTCTATATGGAGAGTGGGTGCGGTCTATATGGAGTGTGGGTGTGGTGTATTCAGAGAGTGGGTGTGGTCTATACTGGTTTTGGTCAGTTAGTTACTGTGTTGACTGGTTAGTTACTGTGTTGGCTGGCTAGTTACTGTGTTGGCTGGTTAGTTACTGTGTTGGCTGGATACTTACTGGTGTTGGCTGGTTAGTTACTGGTGTTGGCTGGTTAGTTACTGGTGTTGGCTGGATACTTACTGGTGTTGGCTGGTTAGTTACTGGTGTTGGCTGGTTAGTTACTGGTATTGATTAGTTACTGGTATTGATTAGTTAGTTACTGATGTTGGTTAGCTAGTTACTTATGTTGGCTGGTTAGTTACTGGTGTTCGCTGGTTAATTATTGGTGTTGGACCAATAGTTACTGGTCTCAGTTGGTTACTGGACACTTCACATTCCTTCAGCTTTGATATGAAGAATTTTTGCAAAACCTGGTCTTTTTTTCAGAGCCTGAGGATGAAAACAAAACAATATCTTTATGAAATTAGCTAAAAAAAAATAATCTGGTCACCCAATCCACGACTGTTTGTGGGACACTTCTGTGCGCAATTGACTGCCGTGTTTTGGCTACAAGATATAGTCAATTCACTTTACAGTATATTCTGTGCTTTGAGACATCTCGAAGGTGTGATAACAACAACAACTTGGATTTATATAGCGCCCTCCACGCTGGATGGCGTCTCAGAATGCTTTACAGTAATGGATCCTGGCGTTATATTAAGGTGTTATAAGGTGATAAGGTTATATAAGGTGTTATATTAAGCAAAGATTATTATTACGATGCATTAATAGTTTTAAATAACAAAACAAACTTGAATTTTTATGGTTATCTACAAACATCTAAAGTTGCGCAGTAAATATAGTGTCGCTATATTCTGCACAGCAATTTTCCCACAAACAGCTGAACTAACAGGTGACCTAACCCTAACCCGTTGGCAACAAAATGACAGAATCGAGCCAGCCCTCTGTTACGGTCTCTAGTCTGGTTCCTGGGCCAGACTACGGGGCGCTGCTAATACAGCACAGCCCAGCCTGGCTCATCGGCAGGACCTGGAAGGACAGACCAGTCACTGAGGGTAGGGAATCCTCCCACTCAGCTCCTGACCCTGCAAGGCAAAGCTGTGATTTCCATGTGTAGGTGGGATTCATAGAATTCTCAGCTTGGTTTGGATACTCTTAAGCACAGGCACAGTGATGGATTTCAATATGTGTCAAGACAGACCCCCAAAAAAGCAAAGGTCTGAATAAGCGCCAAATTTCTGCAGCTGAATGTTGACAAGATGGAAGCCATACTCCATGGCTCCTGTCAGTGTCTTCTGACTCGCAGCTCCAGCCTTAAACTCTCCGGCCTATTTTTTTGATTTACTGAACCTGTGTGTAACCTTGGCATCAGGTTCGACCCATTGCTGTACTTCCAACCGCATGTCCGGTTCCTGACCAGGATCGCTTTCCTCCACCCACCTCACACCCACTTCACACCGTACCTCAAACCCACCTCACACTGTACTACACACCCACCTCACACCGTACCTCACACCCACTTCACACCGTACCTCACACTCACCTCACACCCACCTCACACTGTACCACTTCACACCCACCTCACACTGTACTACCTCACACTGTACCACCTCACACCCAACTCATACCCGCCTCACACCGCAATTCACGTCCATCTTACACCCGCCTCACACCGTACCTTACACCCACCTCACAGCCACCTCACACCGTACCTCACACCCACCTCACACCGCAATTCACGCCCACCTCACACCCGCCTCACACCGTATCTCACACCCACCTCTCATCCACCTCATAGTGAACCTCATACCCATGTCACACCGTACCTCATATGCACCTCACACCTACGACACACCGTACCTCATACGCACCTCACACCCAACTCATACCTTACTTCACACCCAACTCATACCCGCCTCACACTGTACCTCACACCCACCTAACTCATACCTTACCTCACACCCAACTCATACCCCCCTCACACCTGCTTCACACCGAACCTCACACCGCAATTCACGCCCACCTCACACCCGCCTCACACCGTACCTCACACCCACCTCTCATCCACCTCATATTGAACCTTACACCCATGTCACACTGTACCTCATACGCACCTCACACCGTACCTCACACCCAATGTGCCGAAACCGCTATCCAGGCATTGGTCACCACCCACCTTGATTATTCAAAAGCCCTCCTCGCTGGTCTCCACAGCTCTCAGCAGTCTTAAAATCAAATTAATTACTACTACTCATATCCTCACCTAACTCTGTACCTCCATCATCCCAGGCTTTGTCAGGTTCCACTGGTTTCCTATTACAAGACGGATCGATTTCAACATCTTTACACCTGTACACATCATTTAATTCCTTGGTACCTCCCTCTTCGACTTACTTACTTCTGACCCCACTATTTGCTCCCTCCCCTCGAATGACATTCACAGAGCATACTGTAAAGTGAATTGACTATATTTTGTGGGTGAAACATGACAGCCAATTGTGCCCTGCAGTGTCCCACAAACAGTGATAGATTGAGTGACCATATTCTTCACATCCCTCGTTCCCTCTGTTCCACATCGGTGGCTGTGGTTTCAGTCACTGCACCCCGAGACTCTGGAACTCTCTGCCTCAATCCATTAAGAAATTGTTACCCCCCGGAAAAGCGATCTGCTAATCGACCAATGACCAGGTTCCTACTTACTGTTAGGTAAACAGAGTGGTGTGGAGTAACAAAACTTGCACAACATTTCGCCTTACCAGGAATTGAACTCAGGTCCTCTCGCTTGCGAGGCGAGCACTCCAACCACTGAGCTACAGGACCCCTCAGGATGGGGGTGATAGGGTCACGGAGCCCAGTGTGGGACACGAGCTGCAGATTGTTGGATGGTCTGCAGCTTGTGGAGGGAAGTTTGGGGAGTGCAGAGAGTTGGTGTAGTGAAGCCCAGACATAATGGAAGCATGGATAAGGGCCTGAGGGGAGAGGCAGCATCACAGGCAGGCAATGTTGCAGAGGTAGGGGAAACATGAATGAGTCAGGGCACAGATGTGGGGTTTAAATGACAGTTGACATTCGAACAAAACAGAGGTTCTGCACTGGCTCCGTAAGGTGGAGGATTGGTGCTTTCAGTGCTGAGGTGAGGCGGCGCTGCGTTGTTAACATTCAACTGTAGGAAGTTGGCTCTCATTCATGACTTGATCTGACAGGCAATCAGTCAAGACAGAGTGGTCTTGGTCCTGGAGTCGAGAGTGGAGGCAGAGTTGGTGTTATCTGCATACAGCATATTTATTACTATATACGCTCGAGTAAATTGGCTGAGTATGTACTCGGGATGGGGCGGGGGGAGGGGGAGTACACGCACAGTGGGGGAATAGTCAGGGGATTGATTCCATGGGGTTCAACTGAAACGCTGCCCTGTGAAGGGCACTACACAAATGCCAGTTGTTGTTCACGTTACCTGAAGTTTATTCACCATCTCCTCAAACAGCTTGCGTGCCTCAGGCATATCCGGCTCCTCAAAGTAGTCGGCGATCGCAATATGAACCACGATGGACTTCAGATCACGGCAAACACCTAGCAAAGAGACACTGAATTATTGTCACACTCTCTCTCACATAGAAACATGGTTACCTAGCAGTAAGTAGGAAACCAGTTGTTGATCGGAGGATCACTTTTCCAGGGGTAACAATCCCTCCCAAAAAACTAAACAAAAAGAATAATATGGTCACTCAATCCACGACTATTTGTGGGACACTGCTGTACACAATTGATTGTCATGTTTCGCTCACGAAATAGTCAATTCACTTTACTGTGAAGCGTGATAAAACGTGATAATCAAATCTATATCAAATGCAAGGATTATTATTATTATAAGATCGAAGCTGATCCACAACTCAATTCCATCTCAGCGCCCTCTCTCTATATCTGCTAATACCCTGTCCATCAATTATTTATCTATTTGCCTTTTAAATTCTTCTGTTGACTTTGCCTGTACTGTCCTCTGGGAGAATGAATTCCATACTCCCATCACTTTATTATTTCACTTCTAAACGCTTTAGCCTCAAGTTTAAGATGATGGCCTCTCGTCCTCAATTCTCTTGTCAGAGGAAACACTAACTATTCAGCATATTGTCAAATCCCTTCCTAATGTTATACACTTCGATCAGATCAGCCCTTAGCCTCCTGAACTCCAGAGAATACTGTCCAAGTGTTGTATTTTTACATCCTTTTATCATACTTTAAGCAAACTCCGCACCTCCAACTTATGGAACCTTGGTGCAGTGGGAAAGGATGTACACCTGAACTCTGGACAGGAAGACAGTGGCAATTATCTCAAACATTTTGTGATGAGCTGTGTTGCCACCAGGAAGCTCACAGGGAGTTCCTGGTACCAAGGTAGATAAGTCATCTGGTCCGGACGTGATGCATCCTAGGTTACTGAGAGAGGTAAGGGTGGAAATAACGGAGGCTCTGGCCACAATTTTTCGATCCTCCTTGGACACCAGGGTGGTGCCAGAGGACTGTACTAAAAAGGGGCAGAAGGATAAACCTGGGAACTACAGGCCAGTCAGCCTAACATCAGTAGTAGGGAAACTTCTAGAGACTATAATCCAGAACAAAATAATTTTTCACTTAGAAAAATATGGGTTAATAAAGGACAGCCAACATGGGTTTATTAAAAGGCAAATCATGTCTAACAAACCTGTTACGGAGTAATGGAGAGGGTGGATGAAGGTAGTGCAGTTGATGTAGTTTATATGGATTTTCAAAAGGAGTTTGATAAAGTGCCATATCAGAGGCTTGTAAGGAAAAAGAAGCCTATGGTATTAAAAGGACAGTGGCAGCATGGATACAGAACTGGCTGGAAGTCAGAAAGCAGAGAGTGGTGGTGAACAGTTGTTTTTCTGACTGGAGGGAAGTGTGCAGTGGTGTCCCCCAGGGGTCAGTATTGGGACCACTGCTGTTTTGGATCTACATAAATGACCTGGACTTGGGTACAGGGAATACAATTTCCAAGTTTGCAGATGATACTAAACTAGGAAAATAGTAAACAGTGAGGAGGATAGTAACAGATTGCAAATGGACACAGGCAGACTGGTAAAATGCGCAGACACGTGGCAGATGACGTTTAATAATAATTTTTGCATCTGATATAGGGCTTTTCACGTCTTCTAGATGTCTCAAAGCGCCTCACAGAATATACTGTAAAGTGAATTGACTGTATATTTATGGGAAACGCAGCAAACAATTGCGCACAGTGGGGTCCCGCAAACAGTCATGGATTGAAGTGACCAAATTATTATTGTTTTTTTTTCTTGAGGGATTATCATCAGCTGTGATAAGGAAACTTGGCCAACGTTTCATCCTCCAGGAATCAAACCCAGGTCTCTTGCTGGTGAGGCGAGTGCTCTAGGGGCATAGAATACACAAGTCATGAAGTTATGATGGACCTTTATAAAACACTGGTTAGGCCTCAGTTAGAGTACTGTGTTCAGTTCTGGGAACCACACTTTAGGAAGAATGTCAAGGCTTTGGAGAGGGTGCAAAGGAGATCTACCAGGATGGTACCAGGAATGAGGGACTTCAGTTATCAGGAGAGACTCGAGAAGCTAGGATTATTCTCCTTGGAGCAGAGAAGCTTAAGAGGAGACTGAATAGAAGTTTTCAAAATTATGAGGAGATTTGACAGTGTGAACAAGGAGAATCTATTTCCACTGGAGGGTGGATCGGTAACCCAATGGCACTGATTTAAAATAGTTGTTAAAACAAACTGAGGGGAGGTGAGAAGAAATTTTTTCACACAGCGAGTTGTTCAGATCTGGAATGCATTGCCTGAAAGGGTGGTGGAAGCCAATTCGATAACAACTTTTAAGAGAGAACTGGATATTTATTGCGGAGGACAAGTTTGCAGGGCTATGGGGAGAGCGCGGGGGAGTGGGATTGATTTGCATAGCTCTTTTAAAAGAGCCAGCAAAGGCAAGATGGGCCAAATGGCCTCCCTTTGTGCTGTATAATCCTATGATACCTGCCATCCCCCCAGTGAGCCTCAATCCCACCCTTGTCGGATGTCAAATGACCAAATAGTGACTGTCCTCCTTGGGGTAGGGCATAGGATCTCCTTGGTGCTGAACTGGCTCCAGGGTGACATGTTTGGCAACGGAATGTCGGAATCGAGCCAGCCCTCTGTGCTGGTCTCTAGTCCGGTTCCTGAGCCAGGCGGGTCCACAGTATTCCAGGGCACTGCTGATAACAGCACCTGGATCATTGGCAGGACCTGGAAGGGCAGAGCAGTCACTGGGGGCAGGGAGTCATCCCACTCAGCTCCTGTTAACCCTACAGCCAAAGCAAACGGGTAGGGTGGTCCAAGTTGGATAAGCAGCAGGAAAGCTTGTCAGACAGTGCTCTTAATGGCAACCTATGCAGTTTTAGCTGGTTAGATCTAGCAGTTACCCCAACACATACTCTGAGATTCTCCAAGCCATGGCTCTTGCCAACCCGTGCCTAATACTTTACGGAATTAGGTAAGCAGCATGTGTCCCTCCAGGGAGAGAGTACGCATTTCACGCCAACAATTTATCTGGAATTTCATGAATAGGTGGGATGCATGGAATTCTCAGCTTGATTTGGATACTTCTAAGCATGTTCCCAGCTGACTAAAAAAAACTTCACCAGGAATCATTCTAATAAATCAACACACTCTCAAGCAAATATATCCTTACTAAGGGTTGGTGCCCAAAACAACAACAACTTGCATTTACACAGCACACCTCATGTAAGATAGTGTCCCAGAGCACTTGACAGTGGTGGAGCACAACACCAAGCTGGGATGAGATGACCATAGGCACAGTCGAAGAGGAAGGTCTTCAGGCGCAATATGAAGATGGGGAAGGAAGAGGCAAGAAGGTGGAGGGGTAGAGGAAGAGTCTTCCAGAGTTTCGGGGCATAGGGGCTGAAAGCTGTGGAGACAGCGAGGAGGGCATTTGAGAAGTCCAGTCAGGAGATGACGAGATAATGGACGACTTTTCAGCTGTGTCTGGGGTTGGGTACAGTCGGAGGCAGGCAATGTGACGGAGGTAGAGGAAGGCAAGTCCTGGTCAGGGACTCGATGTGGTCAGCACAAAATACTCCATATGTATCTGACCAGCATTGTATACTGTAACAGCACTTCCTGACTCTTGTATTTCAAATCCCCTTGTGATTACCTTCTGCACCTGTGTACTACTTTTTAAAGATTTAAGAACCTGAACAGCTAGATCACTTTGCTCATTAACCTGCTAAGTGTTTCTCCATCATGAATGTAGTCCAACTTGACATTCTTAGGTCCAAAATGAACCACCTCCCATTTTGTCACATTGAACTCCTTTTGTCAGACTTGTAATCTGTCAATGTCCCTCTGCAATTTTCCACTGATATCCTCACAATTTAGCACACCTCCTAGCGTAGTGTAAACCTGGATAGAATCACACACACTCGCACACTCCCACTCGCTCTGGCTCTCCCACACTTGTTCTCTCAAACTCACACTCTCTCACACACTGTTTGTTTCACTTGTGTAAGGCTGGTGCGATTATTGTGTACTGAGCGGGTGTCCAGCCGATGTGATGGCGACTCACTGTTAAAGTGGAGCAGAGCTTTGGGGGTGATGGGGGAGGACATGAGCACCAACATCTCCAGGCCTTTCAGTCCCTCGCGGCAAACTTCAGCGGCCACTTCCTGGTTGATTTCAGTCACGTGATCGAGTTCCAGTACTTGGAGACGGATACAGTTTCGAGCTGAAGAAGATTGATACAGACTGTGAGGCCACATAATACGGCACACAGGCCAACTACACACTAACTACAGGTTGACCACATGTCGACCACATGTCAACCACATGCTAATCACACATCAACCACACACTGACCTCAGGCTAATCATGTGCTGGCCATACACCAACTGACAACTGCATACACCAACTGATGCTGACCACATGACACCTGCAAGCCAACCAAATGTTAATCACTCGCTGACCACACAACCACACGCTAACCACACACCAACCAAACAGCGACTACACGTCAACCACACATCAGTTTTGGTTTTTCGTCACTGGGTATCTCACGCACACTGAAACCCATCACTGTTATCAGTGGGGTGAGGGTGGGGGGAGGGATAGGCGGATGAGGTAAGTGAGGGTGGGGTGAGGGTGGGTGTGAGGGTGGGGGGAGAGGGTGAGGGTGGTGGGGTTGAGGGGTGGGAGGTGAGGGTGGTGGGGTTAGGGTGTGGGTGGGGTGAAGGTGGAGGGGTGAGGATGTGGGTGGAGTGCGGGTGGGGGGGTGAGGGTGTGGATGGAATGAGGGTGGGGGGTGAGGGTGTGGGTGAGGGTGAGGGTGTGGGTGAGGGTGGGGGTGAGGGTGAGGAGGTGTGAAGGTGGGGATGAGGGTGGGGGTGAGGGTGAGGGGGATGAGGGTTGGGGTAAGGGTGGTGGGGGATGAGGGTTGGGGTAAGGGTGGTGGGGGTGAGGGTGAGGAGGGGTGAGGGTGAGGTGGGGTGCGGGTGGAAATGATGGTGAGAGGGGGTGAGGGTGGGGATGATTATTCTGCCATTCTATATGATCAGGGATGATCTGTACCTCAATTCCAGTTACCCACCCTTGCACTGTATCCCTTATAACCCTGACCTAACAAATATCTATTCACAATCTGAATGGGTCCAGCATCCACAACCTTTTGGGGGAGAGAATTCCAGATTTCCACTTCACTTTAGGTGAAAAACTGCCTCCTAATTTCACTCCTAAATGGCCTAGGTCTAATTTTAAGATGATACCCCTTTGTTCTGGATTCAACAATAACAACAACAACTTGGATTTATGTAGCGCCCTCCACGCCGGACAACTTCTCAGAGGGCTTTAGAGTAACGGATCCTGGGACCGAGCCAGGGGGAGGGGGCGCGGAAGGTGACCAAAGGCACGGTTGAAAAGAAAGGTCTTCAGCAGAGACCTGAAAATGGGAAGGAATGGAGTGAGACGAAGGAGTGAGGAAGGCAGTTCCAGAGCCTTGGGGCATAGTGGTTGAAGGCACAGCCGCCGAGCGTGGAGCGGAGGACTCGGGGGGCAAGGAGCAGGCCAGATCCGGAGGAACAAAGGCAACGGGTACTGTTTTGAGGAGAGAAGAGGTCAGAGAGGTAAGGGGGGTGCAGAGGAGTGCAGGGACTTGAATACAAGTCGATCCTCTTTGGGATTGGCAGCCAGTGCAGTCTGGCAAGGACTGGAGTAATCGGGAAGCGGAGTTTCGTGCGGGTGAGAATGCAGGCGGCAGAGTTTTGAATGATTTGGATTTTATGGATGGTAGTGGAGAGGAGACTGACGAGGAGGGCGTTAGAGTAGTAACTTTGTCACTTAGGTGACAAAGGCATGGACCAGGGTTTCAGCGGCTTTTGGGGAGAGGTATTGGAGGAGACGGGCGATGCGTCGGAGGTGAAAGAAAGCGATGCTGGTGAGGCAACCGGAATGGAGGGGTTCGAAGAGGGAGTGGGAGGAGAGGTGTGTGCGATGTTGATTGGCAACAATACATTATAGAACTTTTGAGAGGAAGGGCAGATTAGAAATAGGGCAGTAACGGCTGGGGTTTGAGGGATATAGGGAGGGTTTTTTCAAGAGGGGGGTGATGACAGCAGTTTTGAGGGAGGCAGGGACTGATCCGGAGGAGAGGGACTGGTTGATGATGTCAGCCAGTAGTGGGCAGAGGAAGGGGAGCTGGGTGACTAATAAGTTGGTGGGGAGGGGGTCGAGGCAGCAGGTGGTGGGTTTCATGGAAGTGATGGTGGGTGAGAGAGAAGAGGTTAGAGATGGGGAGGTAGGAATGTAGAATGGGAGTGGTGGTAGGAGCGGATGATGAGGCAGGTGAGGGGGACAGAGAGGGCACGGTGGTGGGTGACAAGGTGGTGGATGAGGCTGTCTGGCGGATGTTAAATATTTTAGATGAAAAGAAGTCCATGACCTCCTTGCACTTGGCATTGAGGAGGCCTGAGGGGGGTCATGGAGGAGATGGTGGGTGGTGGAAAAAAGGATTTTGGGGTTGTGTTTAGCCTCCAAGATGATGTTGGAGTAGAAGGCCATTTTTGCGCGTGTCAAAGAATGGCGGTAGCTGTGGAGATGCTCGAGCCACAGTTGGTGGTGAACTGTCAGGCCAGTTTTCTGCCATCTGCGCTCGAGCAGACACGTTTGGGTTTTTTGCGGCGGAGATAGTTGTTATACCAGGGGGATTGGGTGGGTTTGGAGATAGTCCTGGATTTTAGAGGGATCAGGGAGTTGAAGGTGGAGGAGAGGCAATCATGGAGCAGCTGGACGGCTGCTTCAGGATCTCCGTGGGTGGAAGGCCAGAGGGATAGGATGTTTGATAATGAGAGGGCCTTTTTGAGGGTCTCGGGGGTAGCCTTTTCCAAGGGCGGTAGAGGATGGTTGAGGGCTTGGTGGAGGAGAGAGGGATGTGAGAGGAGAAGGAGATGAAAAAGTGGTCCGAAATGGCCTTGTCCACTATGCTGAGGTCGGACATGTCAAGGCCGTGGGTGATGACGAGATCAAGTGCATGACCACGATTGTGGGTGGGTGAATTTATATGGAGGGTAAGGTTTAGGGAGGAGAGGAGGGCAGCGAAGTCGGCAGAAGTGGTGCAAGGGGAGTTTAGGTGGAGGTTGAAATCGCCCATTATGAGAAGGCACTCAGAGCTCAGATTCCCCACCAGAGGAAATAGGTTCTCTGTATCTACCCTATCAAATCTCTTTTATTATTTTAAACATCTCAATCAGATCACCCTTCAACCTTCTAAACTCAAGGGAAGAGAGACCATTTATGTTTATGGTACCTGTCCTCATAATTTAACCCTTTAAGCCTTTTCCAGGCAGGGCGAAACCTTGGGCAAGTTTCCTTACTCCACACGCCTAATAATAATCCCTCCAAAACAAAAACAATAATAAATTGGTCATTTTCAATCTACGACTGTTTGTGGGACATTGCTGTGCGCAATTGGCTGCCGCGTTCGCCCACAAATATACAGTCAATTCACTTTACAGTCTATTCTGTGAAGCGCTTTGGGACGTCCTCCCGACGTGAAAAGCGCTATATCAAATGCAAGGATTATTATTATTATTATTATTTTATCATTCTGGTGAATCTGCCCAGCACCCCCTCCAGAGACAATATAGCTTCTCGAGGCAGTTACCTAGAGAGGATAGTCCCTGTAAACCACATCCAGCACCGCCCACTCCCAGTGCACGGAGGTGAGGCCAGCAGCGACCAATCATCTGCAGACTACGGTTGTTGAAGCGAGTAGGTTGTTGGCTGGGAATAAAATATGGCAGAATGAGTTTGTGTGTGAGAGAGTGACCACACATGTGTAAAGGAGGGTGAGTACACATGTGATTATGCTAAACACTGTGTAAGTATGTGTATGAGAGTGAGTCCCATTGTGTAAATACATGTTTGTGAGTATAAGTGTGTGAATATATGTGTGTTAATACACGTGTCTGAGTACATGTGAGTTTGTGGGCCATTTTGGACACTGTGAGTAATAATGATATAATAATAAACTTGCTTTGATATCGCGCCTAATCAAGTCTTCAAGACATCTCAAAGTGCTTCACAGAATATAATGTAAAGTAAATTGACTATACTTTGTAGGCAAAATGTGGCAGCCAGTATTACACATCGACATCCCACAAACTGTCATAGGAACATAGGAACAGGAGGAGGCCATTCAGCCTTTCAAGCCTGTTCTGCCATTTAATTAGATCATGGCTGATCTGTACCTCAACTAATCCTTTCAATCTGTCAACCTCACTCTTGAAGGTGTGGATGGATCCAGCATCCACAGCTTTTTGGGGGAGAGAATTCTAGATTTTTACCCCCCTTTGAGTGAAAAAATGCTCCCTGAATTCACTCTTAAATGGCCTGTTTCTAATTTGAAGACTATGCCCTCTTGTTTTGGATTCTCCGACCAGAGGAAATAGCTTCTCTGTATCTATCCTATCAAACCCCTTTATTGTCTTAAACACCTCTATCAAAATCACCCCTAAACCTTCTAAACTCAAGGGAATACCCAAGTTTACGCAGCCTTTCCTCGTAACTTAAGCCTTTTTGGCCTGGTAACATTCTGGTGAACCTGCGCTGCACCCCCTCCAGGGTCAATATATCTTTCCTGCGGTGAGTGCCCAAAACTGAACGCAGTACTCCAGATGGGGTCTAACTAACGCTCTATACAGCTGAAGCATCATTTCTTCCCCTTTGTATTCCAGACCCTTTGAGATAAAGGACAACATTCCATTCGCCATTTTGATTACACCTGGGCACTAGTTTTTAGTGATTTGTGGATATGGACACCCAAATTTCTTTGGTCCTCCACAGTTTTTAATTTCTCCTCATTAAGAAAATATTCTGCTTTATTTTTTTTCAGTCCATAGTGGGTGACCTTGCACTTCCCTACATTGAACTCCATCTGCCACAACTTTGCCCACTCTAATCTGTCCAAGTCCCTTTGTAACTTCCTACTCCCATCTACACAACTTACTGAGCCTCCTAGCTTAGTGTAGTCTTGGATATATAACTTTCTATTCCTTCAGCCAAGTCATTTATATATATAGCGAATAGCTGAGGTCCCAGTATAGACCACTGGGGAACATCACTTGTCAAGTCCCACCAATCAGAGAACGCTCCCTTTATCCCTACTCTTTGTTTCCTTCCTCCCAACCAATTACTAAGCCAAGTCACAAGGTTAACCTCCGATTCCATGTACTTCCATTTTCGCTAATTATCTTTCGTGTGGAACCTTATCGAATGCCTTCTGAAAGTCCATATAAACCACACCATAGACAGTCATGGACTGAGTGACCAAATTATTATTATTATTATTATTTTGTCAAGGGTTTATTATCCCCAGAAAGCGATGCACCAATCAACTAATAAACAGGTTTCTACTTACTGCAAGGTAAACAGAGTTGTGTGGAGTAAGGAAACATCCAACATTTTGCCTGGTCTGGGTATCGAACTCAAGTCTTCTTATTTACAAGGTGAGTGCTCTAACCACTAAGCTAAAGGACTTCACAAAGTATGTGTGTGTATATACAGGCTTCAAACACAATATATATCATACACTGTACAGTGTCAGTGTGGATATGGGGCTGTGTGTGTGTGGGTGGGTGGATATGGGGCTGTGTGTGTGTGGATATGGGGCTATGTGTGTGTGGATATGGGCTGCATGTTTGTGTATGTGGATATGGGGCTGTGTGTGTGGATATGTGGCTGTATTTGTTTGTGTGTGTGTGTGTGGATATGGAGCTGCACTTGTGTGCATGTGGATATGGGACTGTGTTTGTGTGCAGATTTGGAGCTGTGGTGTATGTGTGGATATGGGGTTGTGCTGTGTGTGGATATGGGGTGGTGTGTGTGGATGCGCAGCTGTGATGTGTGTGTGGATATGGTGCTGTATGTGGATATGGGGCTGTGTGTGTGGATATGGGGCTGAGGTGTGTGTGTGGATATGAGACTGTGTGTGTGTGTGGATATGGGCTCTGTGTGTGTGTGTGTGGATGTGGGGCTGCATGTTTGTGTATGTGGATATGGGGCTGTGTGTATATATGGATATGGGGCTGTGTGTGTGTGGATATGCGGCTGTACGTGTGTGTGTGTGTGTGTGTGTGTGGATATGGGGCTGCGTGTGTAGATATTGGGCTGCGTGTGTATGTGCGTGTGTGTGGAGATGGTGCTATGTGTGTGTGGATATCAGGCTGTGCTATCGTCTCACCATGGGTGTAATGGTGCCACCTGCAGGGAGATGATGTCTCGACACCCGGCTCCCAAAGCCCAGATCACTTCATGACCAACAGGATCAGTGGAGCTCCTGAAACCAACCACAGAAAGACGTCAATCACACGCACTGTTACACTTACTCTGACATTCACATTCTCACTCTCGCACACACAGTCACACATTCTTACACTCATTCTGACACAGAATCACTCTGACCCACTCTCACTCACTGACAGACACTCAGTGACACACATCCACACACGTGCCCCATATCCACACATACACCACAGCCCCATATCCACACATACACCACAGCCCCATATCCACACACACAACCCCATATCCACACAAACACAGCCCCATATCCACACACACACAGCCCCATATCCACATACATGCAAACACACTCACTTCTGATACTCTCACATACTGTCATACACGCTCACTCATTCTGGCACACTCACTCTGGCACACTGTTACTCTGGCACACTCACTCTGGTACACTGTCACCCTGGCAAACTCTCACTCTGGCACATTCATTCTTGTACACTGTTATTCAGGCACACGCACTCTGGCACACTCACACTCTGTCACAATGTCACTTTCACACGCTCACACTGGCACACTCACTCTGGCACACTGTTACTCTGGCACACTCACTCTGGCACATTGTCACTCTGGCACATTGTCACTGTCACACTGGCACATTCTCACACTCACTCCGTCACACTCATTTTGACAGACTCACTCTGGCACACTCACTCTGTCACACTGTCTATCACACTGCCACTGTGTCACACTGTGACTCTGACACACTGCCACTATGTCACACTGTCACTCTGGCACAAGTTCACTCTGTCACACTGTCACTATGTCACATTGTCGCTCTGGCACACTGTCATATTGTCACATTATCACTTTGGCACACAGTCACTCTGCCACACTCATTCTGGCACACTCTCAGTCTAGCACACCCTCACTCTGACACAGTGGCACACTCTCACTCTGGTACACTCTCACTCTGGTACACTCTCACTCTGGTACACTCTCACTCTGGTACACTCTCACTCTGTTACATTGTCACACTATCCACTCTTGTCACACTGTCACTGTCGCATTCTCACTCTGTCACACTCTCATTCTGGCACTGTCACTCTATCATACTGTCACACTATCCACTCTAGTCACACTGTCACTCTGTCGCTTGCTCACTCTGTCGCACGCTCACTCTGGCACACTCTCAAACTGTCACTTTGTCAAACTTTCACTCCAGCACACTCACTCTGGCACACTGTCAGTCTGTCATATTGTCACACAATCCACACTGTCACTCTGTCACACAGTCACTCTGTCACACTGTCGCACTCTCACTCTGGCACACTCTCCCTCTGGCACACTCTCACTCTGGCACACTCTCACTCTGGCACACTCTCACTCTGGCACACTCTCACTCTGGCACACTCTCACTCTGGCACACTCTCTGGCACACAGTCACACACAAACTGTCACTCTGGCACATTCTCACACTGTCACTCTGGCACACTGTCACTTTGGCACATTCTCACTCTGGCACACTATCACACAATCACTCTGTCACACCGTCACACACTCTGGCACACTCTCACTCTGGCACACTCTCACTCTGCCACACTCTCACTCTGGCACACTCACTCTCGCACACACTCACTCTGGCACACTATCACACTCATACTATCACTCTGGCACACTCTCAAACTGTCACTCTCTCACACTGTCACTCTCTACTCTGGCACACTGGCTCACTCGCATTGGCACACTCACTCTGGCACATTGTCACACTGGCACCCTCTCAAACAGTCATTCTTGTACACTCTCACTCTGGCACACTGGCACACTCTCACTCTGGGACATTGGCATGCTCTGACTGATACACTCTCACATTGGCACACTCACTCTGACACACTGTCACACTCAAACTGTCACTCTGACACGTTCTCACACTGTCACTCTGGCACACTCTCACTTTGGTACACTCACTCTGGCACACTCTCACTTTGGTACACTCACTCTGGCACACTCTCACTTTGGCACACTCTCACACTGGCACACTCACTCTGGCACACTGTCACACTCAAACTATCACTGGCAAACTCTCACACTGTCACATCCTCACTCTCACATTGACACACTCTCACTCTGGTACTCTCACTCTGGTACATTCTCACTGTGGCACATTGGCATGCTCTGACTCTGGCACACTCTCACTTTGGTTCACTCACTCTGGCACACTCTCACTCTGGCACACTGTTGCACTGGCACAATCTAACACTGTCATTCTGGCACACTCCCACAGGCACCCTCTCACACTGGCACACTCTCACACTGTCACTCTCTCACCCTGTCACTCTCTACTCTGGCACACTGGCTCACTCGCATTGACACACTCACTCTGGCACATTGTCGCACTGGCACCCTCTCAAACTGTCACTCTTGCACACTCTCACTCTGGCACACAGTCACACTCAAACTGTCACTCTTGCACACTCAAACTGTCACTCTGGCACACAGTCACACTCAAACTGTCACTCTGGCACATTCTCACACTGTCACTTTGGTACACTCACTCTGGCACACTCTCACTTTGGCACATTGGCACACTTTCACTGGCACACTCTCACTCTGGCACACTCTCACTATGGCACACTGTCACACTCAAACTGTCACTCTGACACATTCTCACACTGTCACTGGCACACTCTCACTTTGGTACACTCACTCTGGCACACTCTCACTTTGGCACATTGGCACACTCTCACACTGGCACACTCACTCTGGCACACTGTCACACACAAACTATCACTGGCAAACTCTCACACTGTCACACCCTCACTCTCACATTGACACACTCTCACTCTGGTACATTCTCACTGTGGCACATTGGCATGCTCTGACTCTGGCACACTCTCACTTTGGTTCACTCACTCTGGCACACTCTCACTTTGGTACACTCACTCTGGCACACTCTCACTTTGGCACATTGGCACACTCTCGCACTGTCACTCTCTCACCCTGTCACTCTCTACTCTGGCACACTGGCTCACTCTCACATTGACACACTCACAGTAGCACACTCTCACTCTGGCACACTGTCGCACTGGCACCCTCTCAAACTGTCACTCTTGCACACTCTCACTCTGGCACGCAGTCACACTCAAACTGTCACTCTTGCACACTCAAACTGTCACTCTGGCACACAGTCACACTCAAACTGTCACTCTGGCACATTCTCACACTGTCACTTTGGTACACTCACTCTGGCACACTCTCACTTTGGCACATTGGCACACTTTCACTGGCACACTCTCACTCTGGCACACTCTCACTATGGCACACTGTCACACTCAAACTGTCACTCTGACACATTCTCACACTGTCACTGGCACACTCTCACTTTGGTACACTCACTCTGGCACACTCTCACTTTGGCACATTGGCACACTCTCACACTGGCACACTCACTCTGGCACACTGTCACACACAAACTATCACTGGCAAACTCTCACACTGTCACACCCTCACTCTCACATTGACACACTCTCACTCTGGTACATTCTCACTGTGGCACATTGGCATGCTCTGACTCTGGCACACTCTCACTTTGGTTCACTCACTCTGGCACACTCTCACTTTGGTACACTCACTCTGGCACACTCTCACTTTGGCACATTGGCACACTCTCGCTCTGGCACACTGGCTCACTCTCACATTGACACACTCACAGTAGCACACTCTCACTCTGGCACACTGTCGCACTGGCACAATCTGATACTGTCATTCTGGCACCCTCTCACTGGCACCCTCTCACACTGGCACTGTTGCACACTCTCACTCGCACAATTCACTTGGGCACAATTGCACACTCTCACTCTTGACATTCGCTCTGGCATACTCTCACTCTGGCACAGTCTCACTCTGGCACACTGGCATATACTCATTCTTACACTGGCACACTCTCACTCTGGCACACTTTCACTCTGTCACACTGTCACTCTGGCATATACTCATTCTGGCACACTGGCACACTCTCAATCTTGCCCACTCTCACTCTGGCACACTGGCATACTCTTACTCTTGCACACTCTCACTCTGGGACACTCAGTATTGCACACTCACACTGGCACAATTGCACACTCACTTGACACTCGCTCTGCAACTCTCACTCTGGCATAGTCTCACTCTGGTACACTGGCACACTTACTCTGGCACATTGGCGCACTATCACACTGTCACATTCTTACTCTGTATATTGGCACACTCTTACTCTTGCACACTCTCACTGTGGCACACTCTCACACTGGCAGACTCTCACTATAGCACACTGTCACTCTTGCACACTCACTCTGGCACACTGGTACTGTTGCACTCTCTTACTCAGGCTCACTGGCATACTCTCACTCTTGCACACTCTTACTCTGGCATATTGGCACACTCTTACTCTTGCACTTTCACTCTGGCTCACTGGTACACTCTCACTCAGGCACACTCTCATTCTTGCACACTCTCACTCTGGCACACTCTCACACTCGCTGTGAAACAGTAGTGGCAAGAAATAATGTGATCGGGATGCTATGCAACACAATACAAAATTACATTTGGACAGTGCCCTTCATGTCGGGAGGACGTTCCACTATGCTGGACTGTCATGGATTTGTAGCTGAGCTGAAGGGTGGGTGGCAGGCAGGGAGGGTGCCCGAAAACACAGTCGTAGAGCAGGATCTTGAGACATACCTTGAAGGAGGCAAGGGAAGGAGCGAGGCTAAGGGAATGTGGAATGGATTTCCAGAGGGTGGGGGGCAGAGAGGCTGAAGGCCCAACCACGAATGGTGGGGCGGGCCAGGCGAGGGACTTGGAGCAAGCCGGAGCCTGCTGAGCAGAGCAAGAGTACAGGTGAATAAGGGGTTAGCCGGTCACAGATGTAGGGAGGGACAAGGTTGTGTGGAGGGCTTTGAAGGTGAAAACAAAGATTTTGAACTATATCCTCTGGGGGATGGGGAGCCAGTGGAGCTGGGCGCGGGTGGGGTTGATAGGGTCACAGAGCCTGGTGCGGGAAAGGACAGGAGCTGCAGAGTTCCGGATGATCTGAGGCTTGTGGAGGGAAGTGTTGGGAAGGCTGACTAGCAGGGAGTTGGCATAATCCAGCCTTGATGAATCAGGATTTTGACGGCTTGAGGGGAAGGCAGTGGCGGAGCCAGGCAATGTTGTGGAGGTGGGGGAATGCAGAGCGGGACATGGCATGGATGTTGGGTGGAAAGCATAGTTGAGGGTCAAACAAGATGCCAAAGTTCCGGACCGGCTTAGCAAGGTGGAGTGTGCAACCATGGATGGTGATGCTGTCAGTGCCTGAGGTGTGAAGGACCTGACAGGAAACAATCAGGAGGGCCTTGGTGTTGTTGACATTCAACTATAGCAAGTTAGCTCTCAACCAGGACCTGCTGTCTGACAGACATTCTGTCAAGACAGCAGTGGCTTTGGAGTCAAGATTGGAGGTAGAGAGATGTCATCCGCATAATGTGGAAGTTGACCCAGCTCCGAAGAGCAATCCAACTCAATCCCACTGGCCCGCTTTCTCTCCATAGCCCTGCAATCTTGTCCTCCCCAAATACCCATCTACTTCTCTCATAAAAGTTGTTGTGGAATCGGCTTCCCTTTCAGGTAATGTATTCCAGATCCGAACAACCTCTCCTCATAATTAATGTCCTTCATTACTGGTACCATCCTGGTAAACCTCCTTTGCACTCTCCAATGCCCTAACATCTTTCCTAAAGTGCGATGCCCAGAACTGAATGCAGTACTCCAACTGAGGCCATACCAGCATTTTATAAATATTCAACATAACCTCCTGACTTTTGAATTCTATGCTCCTATTTATAAAACCTAGTATCCCATATGCTTTTTTAACAGCTTTATCTATCTGTCTTGCCACCTTCAGAGATTTGCTTATGTGGACCCCCATGTTTCTCTGTTCATTTGCCCCCTTTAAGATTGTACCATCTAACTTATAACTGCCTCTCCTCATTCTTCCTACCAAAATGCAACACGTCGTATTTCTCCACATTAAACCTCATCTGCCACGTTTCTGCCCATTTTACCAATCTGTCTAAGTCCTCTTGGAGTCTGGTGCTATCTTCCTCAGCATTAACTACTTTTCCTAGCTTAGTATCGTCTGCAAATTTGGAAATTGTGCTCCCAGTATCCACATCCAGATCGTTAATATAGATCAGAAAGAATACCCACCGCTGAGGGACACCACTAACACACCTCCCTCCAGTCAGAAAAGCAACCGTTCACTACCACTCTCTGCTTTCTGTCTCCTAGCCAGTTCTGGATCCATGTTGCCACAGTCCCTTTAATACCGTGGGCTTCTATTTTGTTTATAAGTTTCTTATGTGGCACTTTGTCAAATGCCTTTTGAAAAACTAGATAAACTACGTCTTCTGCACTTCCTTCATCAATCCATCAAAAAATTCTATTAGGATTTTCAGACACGATCTGCCTTTAACAAATCCATGTTGACTGTCCTTTATTAAGCCATATTTTTCTAAGTGAGAATTTATATTGTCCCAGATTATAGTCTCCAGAAGTTTCCCTATTAATGATGTTAGGCTGATTGGCCTGTGGTTCTCAGGTTTGTCCTTCTGCCCCTTTTTGTACAGGGGAGTAACATTTGCAACCTTCCAGTCCTCTGGCACCACTCCAGTGTCCAAAGAGGATTGAAAGATTGTGGTCAGAGCTTCCGCTATTTCCACCTTTGCTTCCCTCAGTAACCTAGAATGCATCCCATCTGGACCAAGACGCACCTATGTTGAGCACCGACAGCCTTTTTAGTCCCCCCTCTCCGTTGATTTTTATCATATCCCATTTCTGTTCACACACCTGCGATATTGTGGCATTGGTTGCATCGTCTTCTTTTGTGAAGACAGTTGCAAAGTGATTATTTAGTACATCAGCCATACCCTCTGCCTCAACAAGAAGATTTCCACTAGGGTCCCTAATTGGATAAACCCTAAAAGGTTTTGACTAACCTTTTATTCTTGATATGTTTATAAAATACCTTAGGGTTCCCTTTTATGTTTCCTGCTAATCTTTTCTCGCACAATCTCTTCGCCCTTATTTCCCTTTTCACTTCTCTGTACTTCCTATATTCTATTTGATTATCCTGTGTGTTTTGGACCTGACATTTGTCATAAGCCTCCTTCTTCTGTTTTATTGTAATCCCAATTTCCTTAGTCATCCAGAGAGGTTTGACTGTCCTACCTTTCCCCTTTGTGGGAATGTATTTGCTCTGTCCCCGAACTATCTCTTCCTTGAAGGCTTCCCATTGTTTGTTTGCTGCCTTACCGGCAATCTTTCTTTCCAATCTATCTTGGCCAGGTCCCTTTTTAGCTCACTGAAATCAGCCCGTTTCCAGTTGAGGGTCTTTACCTTTGATTGATTGTTGTCCTTTTCCATAAATATTCTAAACCTAATGATATTGTTATCACTGTTATCCAGATGCTCTCCTACTGAAACCTGCTCCACTTGCCCCACTTCATTTCCCAGTACTAAATCCAGCACTGCTTCCTTCCTTATTGGGCTGGAAAAATGCTGATCCAGAAAGTTCTCCTGCACATATTTCAGGAATTCCTCTCCCTCCTTGCCCTTTACACTGTGTGTTTCCCAGTCTATATTAGGATAATTGAAGTCCCTCATTATCACTACTCTATTGGTTTTGCATCTCTCCGAAATCTGCTTGCAGATTTGCTCATCTATTTCCTTCCCACTATTTGGAGGTCTATAGTAAATACCTAACAGAGTAACAGCTCCTTTTCTGCTCTGTAACTCTAAACAAATAGATTAAATTTTTGGACCCTCTGACACATCGTCCTTTTCCAGGACCGTGACCGTATCCCTAATGAGTATTGCAACCTCCTTTTTCCCTTTCCCTATTGAAGAGGACGGGACCAAGGGCACAGCCCAGAGGAACACCGCACAAGACAGTGCGGGGGCTAGAGGAGAAACCGTTTGTGGAGATGAGGACTGGGGTGATGGGGTTACGGAGTTTAGTGCGTGTAATAGGGAGCCAGTGTAGTCTGTCGAGGACTGGTTCAATGGGGAGCCAGTGGTACCTGGCGAGGACTGCGCTGAAGGGGTACGGAGTTTAGAATGTGAGGATATGGGAGTGGAGTTCTGAATCGGTTGGATGTTGTGAACAGTGGAGTTGGGAGACGGAGGAATAATCGAGGCATGAAAGCATGGATAAGGGTTTCAACAGTGTTGTGTGTGAGGAGGGCGAAGTAGTGGAGGCACATACTCACACTGGCACTCTCGCACACTCACCTATATGTCACGGCTTGCAGGGCACGACAGTAACAGCTAGCTAGCCACAATGAGCGGTCAGTCAGGAGAGTCGGACAGTGGGAAATCTTTAGAATGAGCAGATTGGGTCCTGCAGCTTTGAGCATCGACTCCAGCCCCATCTCCAGGGAGCCACTGGCACAGAGGGAAGCATGTTGGTTTTAGTGACCAGCGGCAGGACTTGTGACATGTGACTATCAATGTCCAACGTGTTGGGTTCAGCGACCTGCCTGAGATAACCCACAAAGCAGCTGGCGCCAAACAGGAGCCACAGAGTCACCCTGAGGCTTCAGTCAATACTCGCACATTCCACCCCGTGTCCTTGACACAATGACCCCCATCACCACCATGCTCACCCGACTCCACTGGCTCCCCGTTCCTCAGAAGATAGAGTTGAAAATCCTCATCCTCGCCTTCACGGCCCTCCATGGCCTTGCTCCCCCTTACCTCTGTGACCTGCTAACCCCTTTTCAACCTGTCCACTCCCTCCGCTCAGCAGAATCTGGCCTGCTCCATGTCCCCCACCCGCCTGGCCCACCCTACCATCGGCGGTCAGGCCTTCAGCCTCTCCTACCCCCACTCTTTGGAACTCTATCCCATGGTCACTTCATCTCGCTTCGACCGTGCCCTCTGTCACCTTCATACCCCTATCTTCCCTGCCTTCCATCCCTCCTGATCCCAAACCCCTGCTCGAGTTCAAATCGCTCACTGTCCTGCGCCTTGGGACATCCTCCCGATGTGAAAAGCGCTGTGTATATATATCATTTGTTGTTGTTGTCCCTGTCACTGTGTGCCCATCACTGTGTGCCTGTCAGTAATGTGCCTGTCATTGTGTGCCTGTCAGGGTGCACCTGTCAGGGTGCACCTATCACCACCCCATGCCCCAGTTGGCCGAGTGGCCAGTTACCATACCATATCATTCTGTGACTCTAGTACACCATTTAAATACTTATATCAATTTTTATACCTTTTACCCTCTGATCACTGATCAAAAGACTGGAGACTTACTGTGTGTTCCTCAGATATTCCTCCTTACTCTCTTTCTTCCCCTTTGGCCGAGGCTTGACATTCTGCAGAGTGAGCGAGTGCGTCTGTGTGCACCACTGAGACAGAGTCATCATGAACTGAAATACAGCAATATAATAATATTTCTTGCATTTAATAGTGTCTTATCACGTCTTTTGAGAATATACTTCACAGAATATACTGTTAAGTGAATTGACTGTGTCTTTTGTGGGTGAAACGTGGCAGCCAATTGCGCACAGCAGTGTCCTACAAACAGTGGTGGATTGAGTCACTAAATTATTATTATTAATCAACTAATAACTGGGTTCCTACTTACTGCTTGGTAAACAAAGGCATGTGGAGTAAGGAAACTTGTTGAATGTTTCGCCCTTCCTGGGAATCAAACCCAGCTCCTCTCGAGGAGCGAGTGCTCTAGCTACTGAGCTACAGGATTCCACCTGTCACAGTAATAACACACTATAACTGAGCCCCTAGTAATAACACATTATTACTGAGCCCCTAGTAATAACACACTACTACTGAGCCTCTAGTAATAACACACTGTAACTGATCCCCTGTAACAGCACAGCTTCTCCTGTGGATGTAGTGAGTGAGTTGTGCAATGCCCAGGGCTGCACTGGTGTACCAGTTCCAACTGTGCAGTGTGTACCTGTGGCTTTGTGCACCTGGGGCAGTGTGCACCTGCAGCAGTGTTTACCCTTTGTGCAGTGTGTACCTTGGGAGAGACCCTCGCGTTCTCCAGCAAGACTCGTGTCCACACCGCGGGGTGTCTGGCCACATACTTCCAATCTCGAGAAACCTCTGCTGCTCGGAGCAAGGTCTTGGTGTCCAGGTAAGTGAAAATGCAGAATAATGCAGCTCTCATCTTCAGCACCTCAGGACTGATCACCTCCTTTGACTGGCACGAGCTTCCTTTGTCGAGTTTGGCTGCTTTGTAGCTGACGGGTCTGCTGTTACCTAGGAACCAACAGAGCAGACTTGGCATGTCTCCAACTCTGTCTCTGGCAGAATCAAATTGTTCATTATCAATAACAACAACAAGAAGATTACATTTGTATAGCGCCTTTCACGTCGGGAGGACGTCCCAAGGTGCTGGATAGAGTACAGCATTTCAGACCCAAGCTGGGGTCAGTGGGGGAGAAGGGAAGGGAGGGGAAGGGGGTGGCCGATGGTATGGTCGAAGAGGGTTGTGAGGCGAGACTTGAAGGAGGCTAAGGAGGGGGCGAAGCGGAGTGATTGGGGGATGGAATTCTAGAGGTTGGGGGCAGAGTGGCTGAAGGCTCTCCCACTTATGGTGGGGCGGGTGGGTCGGGGGACATGGAGCAGGCCGGAGCCAGCTGAGCGGAGGGAGCGGGCGGGTTAGTAGGGGGTAGGAGGTCACAGAGATAGGGTGGGGTGAGGCCATGGAGGGCTCTGTAGGTGAGGGCCAGGATTTTGAACTGGATCCTCTGAAGGATAGGCAGCCAATGGAGTTGGGCGAGAATGGGGTCACGGAGTTTGGTGCGGGAGAGGACACGGGCTGTAGAGTTCTGGATTATCTGCAGCCTGTGGAGGGAGGAGTTGGGAAGGCCGACAAGCAGGGCGTTTGCACAGTCGAGCCTGGAGATGATGAAGGCATGAACAAGAGTTTCAGCGACCTGAGAGGTGAAGTAGTGGCGGAGTCGGGCGATGTTATGGAAGTGAGGGAAGGCAGAGCAGGTCATGGTTTGGATGTGGGGAAGAAAAGACAGTTGAGGGTCGAACAAGACACCGAGGTTCCTGACTGGCTTGGTGAGTTGTAGTGTGCAACCATGGAGGTTGATGCTGCCAGAGCCTGAGGTGTTGAGGCGCTGGCGCGAGCCAATCGGGAGGGCCTCAGTCTTGTTCACATTCAACTGTTGGAAATTTGCCCTCATCCAGGATTTGATGTCCTGGTCCTGTGGTCCTGGAGTTGAGGGTGGAAGCAGAAAGATAGAACTGGGTGTCATCCGCATATATAAGGAAGTTGACCCCATGTCTGCGGATGATGTCACCAAGGGGGAGCATGTAGGTATTAAAGAGGAGAGGGCCAAGGACAGAGCCCTGAGGGACGCCAAATGTGACAGTGCGGGGGCTGGACGAGAAACCGGTAAGAGGCAACAAAGTGGAGATGGTGAGAGAGAAAGGAATCGAACCAGGCAAGGGCAGGTCCGTGAAGACTGAGTAAAGAGGAGAGGCGGTGTATGAGGATGGAGTGGTCGATAGTGTCGAAGGCGACAGAAAGGTCGAGGAGGACAAGGAGGCAGAGGGAGCCCTGATCACAGATGAATGTCATTAGTGACTTTGACCAGGGCTGTTTCCGTGCTGTGGGCAGCGCGGAAGCCGGATTGGAGGGGATTATAACAAGAATTACAGTGATGTGTATACACTGTGTGTGTACAATCTGCACTGTGATACATACACAGTATATACAAAGTGCCTACAGGATATACGTATACAGTGTACAATGGTCACATTGTGAGGTGTGTGTGTTTCTTGCTCAGCCTGTGACCTGGTGACCGATGCTGTACCTGGGTCCCTACCTGTTGCTAGCCGATGTGCCTTGGCTCGGTTGGACCCGAAGTGCTGTGTGAGTGCTGGACATTTACTCTCTTGTTCCCACATCTCAGCCTCTGACTCGGTGGTTCTGGAGCCCACATCAGACACGTCGCCCTCCTCTCCCTCAGTGCTGTTACGATCCGGTCTGCGATGCCAGTTTTCCACGGCTTGTCTCCGGAGCGCTGAGCTCCGTGACGCAGGGTCTCTGCTGAACCTGCCCTCGGCGCTGTGGCTCTGCTTGTGGTGATAGTTCCTCTCTGTGCTCTGATCACAGCGGGGGACAGCCACAGACGGAGTAAAACTGTCACTGTCATAGCATCGAACCGCATGGGGAACAGGCTTTGGTCTAGAGAGAAACATGTCAGCACTATTTTTTTTCAGTCAGCCAGGTGTCTGACACATGCGGAAATCCATCACTGTGCTTAAGAGTCTCCAAACCAACCTGAGAATTCCATGCATCCCACCTAAACATGGAAATCCCAGAGATAGATTGTTGGATTGGAATGCACTCTCTCTCCCTGGAAGGGCACATCCTGTTTACCTAATTCCGTAAAGTATTAGTTGCAGGTTGGCAAGAGCCAAGGCTTGGGGACCCCAGGTTGTGTGCTGGGGTAACTGCTGGAGCCTATCCAGCTAAAATCACATAGCTTGCCATTTCCGACTGCTTGTCCAGCTAGGATCACCTATCCATTAGGGCTTTGGCTTTCAGGGTTAACAGGAATTGAGTTGGATAACTCCCTACCCCAAACATTTCATCATTACATCTACAGTGGGAGAATTGGTAACTAATACTAAATCTACAGTCTGACCTCAGTAACTAGTACTGAATCTACAATCTATCCTATCACTAATGTACAACCGACAACTGACTGTAGGAGGGACTTCCTGACAGTGAGAGCAGTTGGGGTGAAGGCCTGATCGCTGACGCTGGGAGGGTGTGGTGGGGGGGGGGGGTCATGAAACAGGTCAGTGCAGAGGAAGCGTGCAGGTTGGTAGGATTTGAGGAGGTCACAGAGGTAGGCAGGATAATCATATAATAATCCTTGCATTTGATATAGGGCCTTATCATGTCTTCGAGACATCTCAAAGCGCTTCATAACACCTCAGTCTAGACAATGTGAATGGGTCCAGCATCCACAGCGTTTTGAGGGAGAATTCCAGATTTCCACTTCCCTTTGGTTGAAAAATTGCCTCCTAATTTCATTCCTAAATGGCCTAGGCATAATTTTAAGATGATGACCCTTGTTCTGGATTCCCCACCAGAGGAAATAATTTCTCTGTATCTACCCTATCAAATCTCTTCATTATATTTTGTGGGCGAAACTTGAAAGCCAATTGTGCACAGCAGTGTCTCACAAACAGCCCGTTGACTGAGTGACCATTTTTTTAATCTAGTTTTTGGGAAGGGATTATTACCCCCAGAAAAACGATCTGCCAATCGACTAACAACCAGGTTCCTACTTACTGCTCAGTAAACAGAGGCATGTGGAGTAAGGAAACTTGCCCAACTTTTCGCCCTGCTTGAGAATCGAACCCAGATCCTCTTGCTTTGTGAGTCTAGTTGGGCAAGACTGGAAGGAATTTAAAAGTGAGGATGAGCATCTTGAACTCGAACTCCTGGGGAATGGGTAGCTCAGTGGAGCTAGGTGAGGAAAGGGGTAATAACTTCAGAGCTTGGTGAGGGAGAGGCCATGAGCTGCAGAGTTCTGGGTGGTTTGTAGCTTGTGCAGGGAAGAGCTGGGTAGTCCTAGTGAGCAGAGACTTGTCCTAATCTAGCCTGGATGCGATCTTCCCGACATGAAAGGCACTATATAAATGCAATTTGTTGTTGTTGTTGTTGATTAGAGTGTCAGCAGCCTGAGGGGAGAGATGGTGGCAGAGTTGGGCAATGTTACAAAGCTCGGGGAAAGCTGAACGGGTCAGATCACAGATGTGAAGTTTAAAGGATTTAAAAGGTGTCAAGCAAGATTCTTCCCACTCATCTCCTGTTTAACTCTACAAGCCAAAGCCCTAGCGGGGAGTGTGGTCCTCGCTGAACAAGTACACCAAGATCAGGAGGGCCTGCACTGGTTCCACAAGGTGAAACGTGCATCAGTGAGGAGAGAAGGTGCTGACGGGAGGTTCTCTCTTGCTGATATTTTTCTGTAGTAAAATAAACATCATCCAGAATTCATTTCAGCTTATTTTACACCCACTGACCAGCACACCACATCACACAGTGATCTCACTGTCTCACACCACACGCTGTCCCACATCACAGGCTGACCACACGGTCTCACACCACAGTGACCACACTGTGTCACAACACACACAGACCTCACTGTGTCACACCACACTGTCTCGCACCACACACTGACCTCACTGTCCGGTATCAGATAGTGACCATAGAAACATAGAAACAGGAGTAGGCAATTCAGCCCCTCAAGCCTGTTCCGACATTTAAGATCAGGGCTGATCTGTACCCAAGTCCAGTTAGCTACCCGCCCTTGCACCGTAACCTTTCATATCATGATCTAACAAATATCTATCCACCACAGTCTAGACAATGTGAATGGGTCCAGCATCCACAGCGTTTTGAGGGAGAGAATTCCAGATTTCCACTTCCCTTTGGTTGAAAACCTGCCTCCTAATTTCACTCCTAAATGGCCTAGGTCTAATTTTAAGATGATGACCCTTGTTCTGGATTCCCCATCAGAGGAAATAATTTCTCTGTATCTACCCTATCAAATCCCTTTATTATTTTAAAAACCTCAATCAGATCACCCCTTAACCTTCAACAACTCAAGGGAATAGTGACCCAACTTTATGGAACTGTCCTCATAATTTAACCCTTTAAACTCTAGTATCATTCTGGTGAATCTGCACTCCACCCCCTCCAGAGCCAATATATTTTTCCTAATATGCGGTACCCAAACTTGAACTCATTACTGCAGATGGGGTCTGACCAAGGCTCTATATAGTTGAAGCATCATTTCCTCTCCTTTATATTCCAACCCGTTTGAAATAAAGGCCAAAATTCCATTAGCCTTTTTGATAGTGTTTTGTACCAGTGAGCTTGTATTTAGTGATGTGTGTATGGACACCCAATTCCCTTTGCTCCTCCATAATTCTGAGTTTCTCCCCATTTAGAAAATATTCTGCTTAGCTATTTTTAGATCCATAGTGGATGACCTCACACTTTCCCACATTGAATTCAATCTGCCACAGTTTTGCCCAGTCACTTGATCTGTCTATGACTCTGTATCTTCCTGCTCCCATACACAATTTACTGTGCCTCCTAACTTTGTGTCATCTGCAAATTTGGAAATAAAACTCTCTATTCCTTTATCCAAGTTTGTATTTATATATATATACACATATATATAGTGAAAAGCTGAGGCCGCAGTACAGTCCCCTGGGGAACACCACTTGTCACCTACCCTGCCAATCAGAGAATGTTCCCCTTATGCCTACTCTCTGTTTCCTGCCTCCCAACCAATTAGCAATGTAACAAATTACCAAGCTACATCACAAAGTTATCTCCAATTCCATGATCTTTTATTTTTGCTAATAACCTCTTGTGCGGAACCTTATGAAATGTCACATGGAAGTTCATCTGGACAACATCTTATCCACCATGTTAGTGACCTCCTCCAAAAATTCAATTAGATTCGTTAGACTTGATCTACCCTCACAAATCCATGCTGACTCTCTTTGATTAGCTCATACTTGTTCAAGTGCTCAGTCACTATGTCATTGTTGAGAGATTCCAGTAACTTCCCCACAACTGAAGTTAAGCTGACATCTGTAGTTACCTGGTTTCTCCCTCCCTCTTTTCTTAAATAATGGAGTGACATTTGCAATTCTCCAATCCAAGGCCACAATTCCCGAATACAGAGTGCTTTGGAAAATTATGACTACCACATCTGCAATTTCCTCCCCTACTTCTTTTAATACCTTGGGATGGAATCTATCAGGTCCTGGAGATTTGTCTATCTTTACTCACATTATTTTTGTCCAATACCATATTTTAAATTTATATTAAATCAATTTAGTACTTCCCTTTGGCTTATTTTTTAGGTTCCCTTGTACCGTTGGTATTTTTTCCACTTCCTCTATTGTGAAAACAGAAGCAAAGTATTCACTCACCAAGTCTGCCATTTCCTTCTTGTTCATTATTGTCTCACCTACATCTGGCTTTAATGGGCCCAAATCCCTCTTTACCATTCTAAATATATTTATAAAAACTTTAACTGCTGCCCTTGATATTCCTTGCAAGTTTTTTCTCAGATTCCCCTTTTGCATCACTTATTATTTTCTTGACCAGGACTAGGGTTAGGGTTACACACACCAGACGGTGACCAGCACTGTACTGTACCTAACATTTGGCAGTGATTGTTGATCGGAAATATTCCCTCGAGAAACACTTGTTGAGTTGTTGCTTCGATTGCCCTACAAGAGGCGTAAGGAACAACAGTAATTAGTAACCAACAGTAATAACCAGTAATAACCAACAATTATACCCAATAATAATCAGTAATAACCTGGGCCAGTAGAAAAGTGCAGCTGTACTTTTTCTGCGGAATCAGCTGAAAACTCCCACCTCCACTACACACTTGTACACACAGTGTCCTAGACGCCTGGCCACTCATGCTGTTGGCTCCAGGCTGCTACTGTGGGAGGAGCAGCTCCGATCACAAATGCGCGGTGCAGGAAGTGTTGGGATGGTGGGAACTGTTGGGATGGTGTGGAATGTTGGGAAGGGGAGTGTTGGGATGATGGGGAGTATTGGGATGGAGGGGAGTGTTGACATGGGGAGTGTTGGGACGGTGGGGAGTTCTGGGATGGGGAGTGCCGGGATGAATTGTGTTGTGATGGTAGGAAGTGTTGGGATGGTGGGGATTGTTGGGATGGGTAGTGTTCAGTTGGTTGGAAGTGAAGGGATGGGGAGTGTTGGGTTGGGGAGTGTTGGGATGTGGAGTGCTGGGATGGCGGGCAGTGTTGGGATGGGGATTGTTGGGATGTTGGTGAGTGTTGGGAAATTGGGTAGCGTTGGGATCATGGGGAATTTTGGGATGGGCAGTGTTGTGATGGTGGCAAGTGTTGCGAAGGGGAGTTTTGGGATGGTAGGGAGTGTTGGGATGTGGAGTGCTGGGATGTGGGAGTGTTGGGACAGGGAGTGTGGGGATGCGGAGTGTTGGGATGGGCAGTGTTGTGATGGTGGTGAGTGTTGGGAAGGTGGGGAGTGTTGGGATGGTGGGGAGTGTTGGGATGGTGGGGAGTGTTGGGATGGTGAGTGCTGCGATGGGGAGTGCTGCGATAGTGGGGAACGTTGGAACGGTGGGGAACGTTGGAACGGTGGGGAACGTTGAGACGGTGGGGAACTTTAGGACGGTGGGGAACGTTGGGACGGTGGGGAACGTTGGGATGGTGGGGAGTATTGGAATGGTGGGAAACGTTGGGACGGTGGGGAACGTTGGAACAGTGGGGAACGTTGGGAGGGTGGGGAACGTTGGGAGGATGGGGAACGTTGGGATGGTGGGGAGTGCTGGGATGGTGGGGAACGTTGGGATGGTGGGGAGCGTTGGGATGGTGGGGAACATCAGGATGATGGGGAACGTCGGGATGGTGGAGAAAGTTGGGATGTTGGGGAACGTTGGGACGGCGGGGAACGTTGGGATGGTGAGGAATGTTGGGATGGTGGGGAACGTTGGGATGCTGGGGAACTTTGGGATGGTGGGGAACGTTGGGATGGTGGGGAACGTTGGGATGGTGGAGAGTGTTGGGATGGGGAGTGTTGGGATGGGGAGTGTTGGGATGGTGGGGAACGTTGGGACGGTGGGGAACGTTGGAACAGTGGGGAACGTTGGGAGGGTGGGGAACGTTGGGAGGATGGGGAACGTTGGATGGTGGGGAGTGCTGGGATGGTGGGGAACGTTGGGATGGTGGGGAGCGTTGGGATGGTGGGGAACATCAGGATGATGGGGAACATCGGGATGGTGGAGAAAGTTGGGATGTTGGGGAACGTTGGGATGGGGGGGAATGTTGGGATGGTAGGGAGTGCTGGGATAGTGGGGAGTGTTGGGCGGGGAGTGTTGGGGTCATGGTGAATTTTGGGATGGACAGTGTTGTGATGGTGGCGAGTGTTGCGAAGGGATGGGATGGTAGGTAGTGTTGGGATGGTGGGGAGCGCTGACACGGGGAGTGTTATGATGGCGGGGAGTGTTGGGAAGGTGGTGAGTGGTGGGATAGTGGGCATGGTTGGAATGGGGCGTGTTGGGTTCTTGAGGAGTGTTGGGACGGTGGGGAACGTTGGGACAGTGGGGAACGTTGGGACAGTGGGGAATGTTGGGACGGTGGAGAACGTTGGGAGGGTGGGGAACGTTGGGACGGTGGGGAACGTTGGGAGGGTGGGGAACGTTGGGACGGTGGGGAACGTTGGGAGGGTGGGGAACGTTGGGACGGTGGGGAACGTTGGGACGGTGGGGAACGTTGGGACAGTGGGGAGGGCTGGGAGAGTGGGGAGTGCTGGGATAGTGGGTAGTGTTGGCATCATGGGGAATGTTGGAATGGGCAGCGTTGTGATGGTGGGAAGTGTTGGGCGTGGAATGTTGGGATGGTGGGGAGTGCTGGGATGGTGCGGAATGTTGGGATTAGGATTGTTGGGGTGTTGGTGAGTATTGGGATGGTGGGGAGTGTTGGGAAAGTGGGGCGTGTGGGGGAACATTGGGATGGTGAGGAACGTTGGGATGTTGAGGAATGTTGGGATGTTGGGGAACTTTGGGATTGTGGAGAGTGTTGGGATGGTGGGGAGTGTTGGGATGGTGGGGAGTGATGGGATGGTGGGGATTGTTTGGATGGGGAGTGTTGGGATGGTGGGGAGTGTTGGGATGGGGAGTGTTGGAATGGTGGGGAGTGTGGGGATGGTGGGGAAAGTTGGGACGGTGGGGAACGTTGGGACGGCGGGGAACGTTGGGATGGTGGGGAACGTTGGGATGGTGGAGAACGTTGGAATGGTGGGGAACGTTGGGATGGTGGAGAGTGGTGGGATGGGGAGTGTTGGGATGGGGAGCGCTGGGATGGCCGGCAGTGTTGGGATGGGGATTGTTGGGATGTTGGTGAGTGTTGGGAAATTGGGTAGCGTTGGGATCATGGGGAATTTGGGGATGGGCAGTGTTGTGATGGTGGCGAGTGTTGCGAAGGGGAGTTTTGGGATGGTAGGGAGTGTTGGGATGTGGAGTGCTGGGATGTGGGAGTGTTGGGACAGAGAGTGTGGGGATGCGGAGTGTTGAGCGGGCAGTGTTATGATGGTGGGGAGTGTTGGGAAGGCAGGGAGTGTTGGGATAGTGGGCATGGTTGGAATGGGGAGTGTTGGGATGGTGAGGAGTGTTGGGATGGATGGGAGTGTTGGGATGGTGGGGAACGTGGAGTCCTGTAGCTCAGTGGTTAGAGCACTCGCTTTGCAAGCGAGAGACCTGAGTTCAATTCCAGGCAGAGGGCGAAACCTTGGGCAAGTTTCCTTACTCCACACAGAGCCTAATAATAATCCCTCCAAAACCAAAAACAATAATAAATTGGTCATTTTCAATCCACGACTGTTTGTGGGACATTGCTGTGCGCAATTGGCTGCTGCATTCGCCCACAAATATACAGTCAATTCACTTTACAGTGGGTTCTGTGAAGCGCTTTGGGACGTCCTCCCGACGTGAAAAGCGCTATATCAAATGCAAGGATTATTATTATTATTATAACGTTGGGACGGTGGGGAACGTTGGAAGAGTGGGGAACGTTTGGAGGGTGGGGAACGTTGGGAGGGTGGGGAACATTGGGAGGGTGGGGAACGTTGGGACGGTGGGGAGTGTTGGGATGGTGGAGAAAGTTAGGACGTTGGGGAACGTTGGGATGGTGGGCAATGTTCGCATGGTAGGGAGTGCTGGGATAGTGGGGAGTGTTGGGCGGGGAGTGTTGGGATGATGGGGAGTGCTGGGATGGTGGGCAGTGCTGGGATGGGGATTGTTGGGATGTTGGTGAGTGTTGGGAAGATAGGTAGTGTTGGGGTCATGGTGAATTTTGGGATGGGCAGTGTTGTGATGGTGGCGAGTGTTGCGAAGGGATGGGATGGTAGGTAGTGTTGGGATGGTGGGGAGCGTTGACACGGGGAGCATTATGATGGCGGGGAGTGTTGGGAAGGTGGTGAGTGGTGGGATAGTGGGCATGGTTGGAATGGGGAGTGTTGGGTTCTTGAGGAGTGTTGTGATGGTGGGGAACGTTGGGACGGTGGAGAACGTTGGGACGGTGGAGAACGTTGGGCGGGTGGGGAACGTTGGGACGTTGGGGAACGTTGGGACAGTGGGGAGGGCTGGGAGAGTGGGGAGTGCTGGGATAGTGGGTAGTGTTGGCATCATGGGGAATGTTGGAATGGACAGCGTTGTGATGGTGGGAAGTGTTGGGCGGGGAGTGTTGGGATGGTGGAGAGTGCTGGGATGGTGCGGAATGTTGGGATGAGGATTGTTGGGGTGTTGGTGAGTATTGGGATGGTGGGGAGTGTTGGGATGGTGAGGAACGTTGGGATGGTGGGGAGTGTTGGGATGGGGAGTGTTGGGATGGTGGGGAGTGTTGGAATGTGGAGTGTTGGAATGGTGGGGAGTGTTGGGATGGGGAATGTGGGGATGGTGGAGAACGTTGAGACGGTGGGGAACGTTGGGACGGCGGGGAACGTTGGGATGGTGAGGAATGTTGGGATGGTGGGGAACGTTGGGATGGTGGGGAACGTTGGGATGGTGGGGAACGTTGGGATGGTGGAGAGTGTTGGGATGGGGAGTGTTGGGATGGGGAGTGTTGGGGTGGAGAGTGTTGGGATGGGGAGTGTTGGGATGGAGGGGAGTGTTGGGATGGAGGGGAGTTTTGGGAAGGTGGGGAGTATTTGGAAAGTGGGGAGTGTTGGGAAGGTGTGGAGTGTTGGGAAGGCTTGGAGTGTTGGGAAGCTGGGGAGAGTTGGGAAGGTTGGGAGTGTAGGTATGGGGGGTGTTGGGATGGCGGAGATTGTTGGTTTGGGGAGTGTTGGGATGGAGAGTGTTGGGAAGGTGGGGAGTGCTGAGATGGTGGGCAGTGTTGCGATGGGGATTATTGGGATGGCGGTGAGTGTTGGGATGGTGGCATGTGTTGGGATGTTGGGGATTGTTGGAATGCTGGGGAGCATTGAGATGATGGGGAGTGTTGGGATGGGGAATGTTGGGATGGGGATTCTTGGGATGGTGGTGAGTGTTAGGATTGCTAGTATTGGAATGGTGGGAAGTGTTGGGTATGGGAGTTTTGTGATGGTAGGGAGTCTTGGCATAGTAGGAAGTGTTGGGATGGGGAATGTTATGATGGGGAGTATAGGGATGGGATGGGAAGTGTTCGGTTAGGAAGTGTTGGGATGGGTGTTTGGGGATGGTGGGGTGTGCTGGGATGGGGAGTGTTTGGATGTGGAATGTTGGGATGCAGTGTTGGGATGGGAAATGTTGGGAAGTGAAGTGTTGGGAAGTGGAGTGGTGTGATAGTGGGTGTTGAGAGGTTCGGGATTGTTGGAATATTGGGGAGTGTTGGGATGGTGCAGAGTTTTGGGAGATTGGGGAATGTTGTGATGGGGAGTGTGGAGACAGCTGTGTTGGGATGTTGGGAAGTGTTGGGATGGGGAGTGTTGGGATGGTGGGGATGTTGGGATGGGGTGTGTTGGGATGGCATGGAGTGTTGGGATGAGGAGTGTTGGGATGGTGGGGAGTGATGGGATAGTGGGGAGTGTTGGGATAGTGGGGATTATTGGGATAGTTGGAATGGTGGGGAGTGTTGCGATGGGTCATTTTGGGATGGAGAGTGTTGGCATGGTGGGGAGATTTGGGATGGGTAGTGTTGGGAGTGTTTGGATGGGGAGTGTTGGTATGGGGAGTGTTGGTATGGGGAGTGTTGGTATGGGGAGTGTTGGTATAGGGAGTGTTGGTAAGGGGAGTGTTGGCATGGTGGGGAATGTTGGAATGGGGAGCGTTGATATGGTCGTGAGTTTTGAGATGGGGAATGTTGGGATGGGGAGTGTGGAGACGATGTCGAGTATTGGGATGGGGACTGTTGGGATGATGAGTACTGAGAAGGTGGGGAGTGGGGAGTGTTGGGATGTTGGGGAGTGTTGGGATCAAGAGTGTTGGGATGAGGAGTGTTGAGATAGGAGTGTTGCGCCGGGGAGTTTGGGATGGTGGGGAGTGTTGGGATAGGTAGTGTTGAGTGTTGCGATGGTGGGGAATGTTGGGATCGAGTGTGTTAGGATGGTGGGGAATGTTAGGGAGCGTGGGGATGGGGTGTGTTGGTGTGGGGAGTGTTGGTATTGTGGGGAGTGATGAGATGATGAGGAGTGTTGGTATGGTTAGTTTGGGGATGGAGAATGTTGGGATGGTGGGGAGTTTTGGGATGGGGAGTGTACGGATGGTGGGGAATGTTGGGATGGGGAATATTGGGATGGAGATTGTTGCGCCGGGGAGTGTTGGGATAATGGGGAGTGTTGAGATGGTGGGGAGTGATGGGATAGGGAGTGTTGAGATGGTGGGGAGTGATGAGTTGGGGAGTTTGGGGATGGGGATTGTTGGGATGTGGAATGGTTTGATGGGCCGTGTTGGGGGGGTGGGGAGTGTTGGGAAGGGAAGTGTTGGGATGGCGAGTGTTGAGAGAGTGGGGAGTGTTGAGAGGGTGGGGAGTGTTTGGATGCGGAGTTGATATTTGATATTACATTTGATATAGCGCCTTATTACATTTTCGAGACGTCTCAAAGTGCTTCACAGAATATAATGTAAAGTGAATTGACTATAATTTGTGAGCAAAACGAGGCAGCCAATTGCACACAGCAGTGTCCCACAAATAGTCGGGATTGAGTGACCAAATTTTTTTTTAAACTTATTTTTGTTTTGAAGGGAGTAATATTCCTGGAAAAGCGATGTGACTATCGACTAACTACTGATTTCCTACTTATTGCTTGATAAACAGAGGCGTGTGTGTGGAGTAAGGAAACTTGCCTAAGGTTTTGCCCTGCCAGCTCCATGATATAATGTGAGATACAATTTACATCATTAATTATATAATTTGTTTCTTCAGAATCTCTGTGATTAGAAAGGGGTAATATTGTGAGGCTATTGTCTGACCCTGTGCTCAGGCTCTGAAACCTGCCAACACGCTGATAACACTGTGACTGTGATATGCTCATCATTAGCTAGACGTAAGCCCAAGTACCTGACGTCTGCTGATGCCCTTGTTCCGCGAGATGCTGCACCTCCCCACACTGCCGTTGGGTGTGCTGGCACAACTACTGATCACCATCAGCTGCTTCTCCGCCCTGTCTGCTCTGTCCAAAAGCTCCTCAATAAACTGCTGCAGACGCCCCTTGGCCGTGGCCTCCCGAGCAGCCGTCTCTTGTAAGAACCTGTCGATCTGTAATACCTCCCTGTCAACATCAATAGAGACCCCACAACATTAGCCCACAGACGTCACAGGCACTGCTTAGTAATAATAATAATTCTTACATTTGATACAGCGGCTTATCATGTCTTCGAGATGTCTCAACGCGCTTCATACAATATATTGTAAAGCGTAAATTTTGTGGGCAGCCAGTTGCGCACAGCAATGTCCCACAAACAGTCTTGGATTGAAGTGATTTTTATTTTATTATTTTATTGTTATTTTATTTTTTGAAGGAATTATTATCCCCGGAAAGCAATCCGCCAATCAACTAACAACTGGGTTCCTACTTACTGCTGGTAAACAGAGGCGTGTAGTGTAAGGAAACTTGCTCAACGTTTCACCCTGCTGGGAATCGAACCCAGGTCTCTTGCTTGCGAGGCGAGTGCTCTAATCAACAACAACAACAAAATTACATTTGTATAGTGCCTTTTACGTCGGGAGGATGTCTCAAGGCGCTGGACAGACAGAGTTACGGACCCGAGCTTGGGGTCGGGGTCAGGGAGGGTGGAGGGCAGGGGGAAAGCACGGCCAAAGAGAAGGGTCTTGTGATGGGTCTTGAAGGAGGTGAGGGAAGGGGCGAGGTGGAGGGACTGCAGGATGGAGTTCCAGAGGGTGGGGGCAGAGTGGCGGAAGGCCTGCCCACCAATAGTGGGGCGAGCGAGGCGGGGACGTGAAGCAGGCCGGAGCTCACTGAGCGGAGGTAGCGACAGGATGGTAGGAGGTTAGGAGGTCACAGAGGGAGGGGGGAGCAAGACCTTGGAGGGCTTTGAAGGTGAGGACCAGGATCTTGAACTGTATCCTCTGTGTGATGGGAAGCCAATGGAGTTGGGCGAGGATGGGGGTGACAGGATCACGGAGCCTAATGCAGGAGAGGACACGGGCTGCAGAGTTCTGGATGATCTGCAGCCTATGGAGGGAGGAGTTGGGGAGGCCGACAAGCAATGAGTTTGCATATTCAAGCCTCCACGTAATGAAAGCATGTATGAGGGTTTTGGCGGCCTGCGGTGTGAGACAGTGGCGGAGCTGGGCAACGTTGCGGAGCTGCAACCATTGAGTTAAAGGACTCTACATATTGTTTCCAACAACTTGCATTTATATAGTACCTTTCACACGGGTTAACGTGCTGGAATGCTTGACAGTGGAGGAGTCTGACACTGAGCCAGGGGTAGAGGGAAGACGGGGGTAACCTTAAGCACGATCAAAAGGAAGGCCTTTTGCGGGGATTTGAAAGTGGGGAGGGAGGGGCAAGGTGGAGGGATTGAGGGAGAGAGTTCCAGAGTTTCAGGTCGTAGTGGCTGAAGGCCTGTTCTACTGGCTCCGGCTTCCTGCATGTCCCTCCATTCCACCATTGGTGGCCGCGCTTTAAGCCCCTACACCCCGAAACTTTGGAACACTGTCGCTCTATTCCTCCACCATGCCCCTTCTTTTCCCATCTTCAGGTCGAGCCTGAAGACCTTCCTATTCGACCATGCCTATGGTCACCTCCGCTACTGTCAAGCTCTGGAACGCTGCCTTGCGTGAGGGACGCTGTTCTGGATGAATGACTCTGCCCTGCGTGAGGGACGTTGCCCTGGGTGAGGGACGTTGCCCTGGGTGAGGGACGTTGCCCTGGGTGAAGGACTCTGCCCTGGGTGAGGGTCACTCTGTAAATGCAAGTTGTTGTTTGTAGGTTTTAGAATTTTTATCCACAAATAAGACACATTGTGGAAAAATCATGAATGAACAGAACAAGAACTCAGTAAATAGCAACAGCTTCAACAACAACAACAACATGTGTTGTCACCTGTTTCCTCTCTCAGAGATCAGCGAGACTCCAAAGAGCAGCAAACTGGTGAGTAACAACACATGACACGTACACAGCGCCTTTCACGTCAGGAAGACGTCCCAATGTGCTGGACAGTCAGTGGGGGTGGAGGGCAGGGAGTTTGTGGGTAGGAGGTTGACCAAAGGCACGGTCGAAGAGGAGGGTTCTCTCTCTCTGGTCTCTCTCTCTTCTCATTCTTTCTGTGTGCTCTCTCCCTCTGTTCTCTCTCTATGCGCGCTCTCTCTCTCTATGTTCGGTCTCTCACTCTGCTCTCACTCTTTCTCTCTCTCTGTGCGCTCTCTCTCTTTGCTCTCTCATTTTCGCGCTCTGTACTTTATCTCTCTCTATGTGCTCACACTCTCTCTGATCTCTCTCCGTGCTCTCTCTCTCTCTCTCTCTCTGTGTCTCTGTTCTCTCTCTCTCTCTGTTCTTCCTACTCTCTGTGCTCTCTATTCTCACTCTCTGTGCTCTCTCTCTATAATAATAATAATCCTTGCATTTGATATAGCGCTTTTCACGTCGGGAGGACGTCTCAAAGCACTTCACAGAACACACTGTAAAGTGAATTGACTGTATATTTGTGGGCGAACGCGGCAGTCAATTGCGCACAGCAATGTCCCACAAACAGTCGTAGATTGAAAATGACCAATTTATTATTATTTTGTTTTAGAGGGATTATTATTCTCTCTATTCTCGCTCTCTGTGCTCTCTCTCTCTCTGTTCTCGCTCTCTGTGCTCTCCCTGTTTGCTTTCTCTGTTCTTGCTCTCTCTCTTTCTGTGCTCTCTGTCTCTGTTCTCTTTCTCTCTATGTGCTCTCTTCCTCTCTGTTCTCTCTCTCTATGCTCTGTGTGTGGTCTCTCTCTCTATTATGCTCTCCCTCTCTCTGTGCTCTTTCTCTTTCTGTGTTGTCCCTCTCTCTCTATGCTGTTTCTCTCTGTGCTCGCTCTCTCTCGCTATCCTCTGTTTGCTCTCTCTCTGTGCTCTATCTCTGTTCTCGCTCTCTGTGCTCTCTCTTTCTCTCTGTTCCCTCTCTCTCCCTCTGTTCTCTCTCTCTGTTCTGTGTGCTCTCTCTCCATTCCCTCTCTCTCTCCCTCTGTGTTCCCTCTCTCTCTTCTTTCTCTTTGTTCTCTCTATGCTCTCTCTCTCTCTCTCTCTATTCTCTCTCTGTGCTCTCTCCGTACTTTCTCTCTTTGCTCTCCCATTCTCTCTCTTCATGCTCTGTCTCTCTCTCTCTCTGCTCTTTCTCTCTCTCTGCTCTATCTCTCTCTTTGCTCTCTCATTTTCTCTCTCTGCGCTCATTTCTTTCTCCATGTTCTGTCTCTCTCTGCTGTCTCATTCTCTCGGTGCTCTCTCATTCTGTGTGCTCTCTCTCTCTATGCTCTCACTCACTCTCTCTGGGCTCTCTCTTTGTATGTGCTCTCTCTCTGTGGCTTCTCTCTCTCGCTCTCTCCGTCTCTCTGGCCTCTTTCTTGCTGTATGTGAGAAGAACATTACCGACTCACTGCTGTTTGTGGACGAGCTCCTGATCTTTCTGCACCAGGTCCTGTTTGAGGGCCGCCAGCATCTCCACACTCACGTCCACCTGTCGGGACAGCTCTGAGGCCCTCTCCTCCATGTCCCGCTTCTCTCGGCTCAGCTTCAGGCTGTCCTGCCTCGCCCTCTCCAGCTCACAGCTCCTCTTCTCCAGCTCGCCCTGTAGCCTGTCCACCCGCGCTGCGATCTTCTGCTCCACCTCCTGTGACAGCTTCTCCAGATGCTGGTTCAGGTTCAATGTCTCTAATGCCTGGACCTTCAGACGAGTCTCGCCCTCCTCGTACACAGTGTCCCCCGCTATTGAGGCAGGGGGAGAGCTCAGCGCCTTCTTCATCAGTATTTCATTGACTGGAAGCTTCCCCTCGGGCATGTAACTGGCAGAGCTCTGAGCCACGTCTTCTCCGCACTGTAAGTCGTACAGATGGCGCTGTTCTTTGCTCCTGAAAGATGTGCTTTCAAAAATGTCCTTGCGGACAGCGGGTATGAGGACTGGCAGGTCACTGGGAGACAGCAGGCTGGTGTCACAGACACTATTAGACTTGGAGAGGACGTACAAAGTTTCATACGTGTGGTTATATTCCAGGTGAGCTCGTAATGATGACAGGCTCCTGAAACGCTTGTGTTCCCCACACCTAGGACAGCGATAGGGTAAGTCCAGAGAAGCCATCGCTCACACAGAGCCACTGCGGCGACATCCACTGCACTGCTCCCTGCTCACACAGTCACATCTCATGGTCCTGCTATAACCGTGCCTCCCTGGAGCAGCAATGTGACACTCACACACACGATAGCCTCCTCAGCTTCTGATCATCATGCAAATCATCACCCACTTTGTCTAGTGAAAAACATAAACACAGCACAACAGCCGTGAAGCGACGGATCGATATATATAATAATTCTTGCATTTGATATAGAGCCTCATCACGCCTTTGAGATGTCTCAAAGCGCTTCACAGGATACATAGGGTGTGTGACTGTGTACAGGGTGTGTGACTGTGTACAGGGTGTTTGACACACATGCTATAACACACCTCACACACACTATACCCACTTCACACACCCTATACACACCTCACACACTATACACACACCTTAATACACACACAAACCTTATACTCACACAAACCCTATACACACACAAACCCTTTCCACACACAAAAACAACAACAAGATTCCATTTATAGAGCGCCTTTCACATCGGGAGGACGTCCCAAGGTGCTGGACAGTTGGGTCAGGACCCGAGCAGGGGGGAAATGGTCAGGGTTAGGGGAGGGAAGGGAGGGAGCGAGGAGGGGGAAATGGTCAGGGTGAGGGGAAGGGAAGGAGCGAGGAGGGCGTAGAGAGTCGAGAGGGGAGCTGAAGGCACGGTCAAAGAGAAAGGTCTTGAGACCGGCCTTGAAGGAGGAAAGGGAGGAGGCGGCGAAGGCACTGGGGGATAGAGTTCCAGAGCCTCGGGACTGAGAGGCTGAAGGCCCGACCACCGATGGTAGGGCGGTTGGGGCGGGGGACGTGGAGCAGACCGGAGCCAGAGGAACGGAGGGTACGGGCAGGTAGGTAGGGGGATAGTAGGTCGGAGAGGTAGGAGGGAGCAAGGCCATGAATGGCCTTGTAGGTAAGGATGAGGATCTTGAATTCAAACCCTATACACACACAAACCCTATATACACACAAACCCTATACACACACCTTATAGACGTATCCTATATAGGGTGTGTGACTGTGTATGACTGTATACAGGGTGTGTGTATATGGTGTGTGACTGTGAAAAGGGTGTGTGACTGTGTATAGGGTGTGTACAGTGTGGGTATAGGGTGTGTGTACAATATGTGTATATAGGGTGTGTCTACAGGGAGTATGTATAGTGTGTGTGTGTGTGTGTATAGGATATGTCTGTAAAGTGTGATGCATTAGGGTGTGTGTATATAGCGTGTGTGTTTGTATAGAGTTTGTGTGTGTATAGTGTGTGAGGTGTGCATAGGGTGTGTGAGGTGTGTATAGGGTGTGTGAGGAATGTATAGGGTGCGTGAGGTATGTATAGGGTATATGATTGTGTACAGGGTGTGTGACTGTGTATAGGTTGTGTGACTGCGTACAGGGTGTGTGACTATGTATATGGTGTGTGTACAGTGTGTGTGTAGGGTGTGCCTACAGGGAGTGTGTATAATGTGTGTATGTTTAGGGTATGTCTATAAGGTGTGTATAAGGTGTGTATAAGAACATAAGAACATAAGAATTAGGAGCAGGAGTAAGCCATTCGGCCCCTCTAGCCTGCCCCGCCATTCAATAAAATCATAGCTGATCTATTCTAACTCCACCTACCTGCCTTATCCCCATATCCCTTAATCTACAAGAAATCTATCAATCTCAGTCTTGAATATAATAATATATAATATAATAATAATCCTTGCATTTGATTAGTGCTTTTCACGTCTTCTAGACGTCCCAAAGCGCTTCACAGAATATACTGTAAGTGAATTGACTGTATATTTGTGGGCGAACGCGGCAGTCAATTGCGCACTGCAGTGTCCCACAAACAGTCGTGGATTGAAAATTACCAATGTATTATTGTTTTGTTTTGGAGGGATTATTATTAGGCTCTGTGTGGAGTAAGGAAACTTGCCCAAGGTTTCGCTCTGCCGGGAATTGAACTCAGGTCTGTCACTTGCAAAGCGAGTGCTCAACCACTGAGCTACAGGACTCCACATGTTCAAGGACTGAGCATCTACAGCCCTTTTGGGGCAGAGAATTCCATAAATTCACTACCCTCTGAGTGAAGAAGTTTTTCCTCAACTCAGTGCGAAAGGGCTTACCCCTAATTTTAAGACTGTGACCCCTGGTTATAGTTTCTCCAACCAGGGGCAAAAGTCTCCCACTATCTATTCTGTCGTGCCCCTTAATAATCTTAATGGTTTCTATAAGATCACCTCTCATTTTTCTATATTCTAAAGAATATAGGCCTAAATTGCTCAATCTATCCTCATAATTCATCCCCCTCATCCCTGGTACCAACCTTGTGAATCTACGTTGTAACCCCTCCAAGGCAAGTACATCCTTTCTTAAATAAGGAGACCAAAACTGCACACAATATTCTAGGTGTGGTCTCACCAGGGCCCTATACAGTTGCAGCAAGACTTCCCTACACTTATATTCTAACCCTTTTGTAACAAATGCCAACATACTGTTAGCCTTCCTAATTGCTTGCTGTATCTGCAAACTAACTTTTTGTGACTGGTGTACAAGGACACCCAAGTCCCTCTGAACGCTAACACTATCTAGTCTCTCTCCTAAAAAATAATCTGCTCTGCTGTTTTTCCACCTAGATGGACGACCTTACATTATACTTCATCTGCCACCTATTTGCCCACTCACCTAGCCTATCTATATCTCGTTGCATTTTTTTAATGTCATCCTCGGTGTTTACTCTCCCTCCTAGTTTAGTGTCATCCGCGAATTTGGATATATTAAGTTCGATGTCTTCATCTAGATCGTTGATGTAGATAGTACATAGTTGAGGCCCAAGCACTGATCCTTGTGGCACTCCACTAGTCACATCCCACCAATTTGAGAAGGACCCGTTTATCCCTACTCTTTATTTTCTTCCCGTTAGCTGTTCTTCAATCCATGCTAATATATTCCCCTTAATTCCGTGGGCTCTAATCTTGTGAATCAACCTTTTATGCGGCACCTTATCGAATGCCTTTTGGAAATCTAAATACACCACATCCACTGATTCCCCTCTAATCTACTTGATATGTCCTCAAAAAAACTTAAAAAATTGTTAAGCATGACTTCTCTTTTGTAAAGCCATGTTGACTCTGTCTAATCATATTGTGATCCTCTACGTATCCCACTACAACATCCTTAATTAAGGAATCTAGAATTTTCCCTACCACCGATGTCAGACTAACTGGTCTATAGTTCCCCATCTTTTCTCTCCCACCCTTCGTAAATAGTGGTGTGACGTTTGCGATCTTCCAATCAATGGGAACCATTCCAGAATCCAAAGAATTTTGGAAGATTGGACACAAGGCCTCTACTATCTCATGAGCTACCTCTTTTAAAACCCTAGGATGCAAACCATCAGGTCCAGGGGACTTGTCACTTTTTAATGCCAACAATTTCCCTAGCACCAATTCTTTGCTAATGTAAATCTCCCTAAGTTGCTCCCTATCAGTAGCCCCTTGGTTCATCTCTATTTCTGGTAAACTTCTTGTGTCATCTAACGTGAAGACAGAAGCAAAGTATTTATTTAGGGACTCTGCGATATCCTTATCCCCCATTATAATTCCTCCTGTCTCTGCCTGTAATGGACCCACATTTACTTTTGCTAGCCTATTCCTCTTAATGTATTTATAAAAACTCTTACAATCTGTCTTAATGTTCCTAATGTTCCTCCCCTCATAATCCATTTTCTCACTCTAATGAGCTTTTTGGTTTTCCTTTGTTGGTCCCTAAAACACTTCCAGTCCTCAGGTTTGCTACTCTTTTTGGCAGTTTTATAGGCCTTAGTTTTATACTTTCTCTTTAACTGCTCTAGTTAGACACTGATGAACTGCTTTCCCTGTGGTATTCTTATTCCTTAAAGGGAATACGTGATCGCTGAGAATTTTGCACTACATCTTTAAAAGTTTGCCACTGTTGGTCTATTGTCATATCCATTAATCTAATTCCACAGTCTATTTTAGCTAATTCTTCCCTCATACCTGCAAAGTTAGCTTTACTTAAATTTAAGACCCTTGCTTCAGATTTGACTACATCGCTCTCTAACTTAATACTAAATTCTATCGTGTTATGATCATTCTGCCCTCGAGGAGCCTTAATATCTATATTAACGACTAGCCCTGTTTTGTTACACAAAACAAGGTCTAGGTTGGTCTATTCCCTAGTTGGTTCCTCTGCATACTGCTCCAGACAGCTATCTCTCATGCAGTCTATAAACTCCTCCTCTACCCTACTTTTGCCTATTTGGTTTTCCCAATCTATGTGAAGATTGAAATCATCCACTATTACTGTATTACCTTTGCTACATGCTCCTCTAATTTCCTGATTAATACCCTGCGCTATGCTGTGATCACTGTTTGGGGGTCTATAAACTACTCCCACTAATGTTTTCTGCCCCTTTTTATTTGGTAATTCTAAGCATACCGTTTCTACATCCTGGTTATTGGACTTGAAATCCTTCCTCTCTACTGTTTTTATTCCATGCTTTATTAACAAGGCTACCCCGCCACCTCGTTTTCCACATTGTCTATCCTTCCTATAAGCTGAAAACCCCGGAATATTAAACTCCCACCCCAGATCTCCCTGTAACCATGTTTCAGTAATGGCTACTAGATCATACCTGTTCATATCTATCTGTGCCTTTAATTCATCTATCTTATTCTGAGTGCTTCGTGCATTTAGATATAGCGATTTTAATTTCTTACCATTTACCTACTCCCTGATGCCCTATCTTCTTTACTGAGCTTCTTACCCCTCTTTGAGCTATTCTGTTTATCTCCCGAGCTATTCTGTTCTGCCACCTTTAGTTTTTTTAATATTGCTGGCTTGCGATTATTTCTAATTGTATCCCCCCCACCCCCCCACGTTACTAGTTTAAAGCTTTATTTACCTCCGTGTATTCGGTTTGCTAGGACATTTGTCCCAGCCCGATTTAAGTGGAGCCCATCTTTTTGAAATAGACCCCTTTTCCCCCAATACTGGTGCCAGTGGCCCTTAAAATGAAACCTCTGCGTTCCACACCACTCCCTCAGCCATGCATTTAACTCTCTAATTTGCTTATTCCTGTACCAATTTGCACATGTCAAAGGCAGCAATCCTGACATCACTACCTTTG